CTGAGAATGCAGTATTTTGGTTTTTTTTAAATATTTTTTTTTTGGTTGTAGATGGGCACAGTACCTTTATTTTATTTTTATGTGGTGCCAGGGATTGAACCCAGTGCCTCACACTTGCTAGGCAAGCGTTCTTCCGCTGAGCCACAACCCAGCCCACAGTACTTTTTTTTTTAGGTTTAGCAGGTTATTCGGTACCACATGGTCCTGATGGGAGGCAGGAAAGGAACCTAGACGTTTAAAGAAACGTTACCTTTCTTGGGATGTTTTTGTTATATACAATGCTTCCCCAGTGTTTTGGGGTCCTGCCTCCTCTGAGAGGGAATGGCCTGGGTAACAGGTCTCATCCTATATTACAAACCACCAGAAAATTTCCCTGGAAAAATGGCATTGGAACAATGACAAAAAACAATAGTCAACTCCCCCTCTCTGCGTTAAGCCATCTTCCTTCCTAAAGTGGTCTACCAAGTTTCAATAACTCTTATCAGTTATATAACATCTTCTATCTCCAATTAACAAAATACCATATAGGATCATATATACAGCTTGATTATTCTTGCTAATATTATGTTTTCAGACAGAAAATTCTCTAATTATGTTCCTTGCTCTTTAGCAAACTACAATTTCTACTCATATCTTGGATTTCTCTCTTTTACCAAGACTCCGACCTTATCTTTCAGATAGGACACATCTTTTGTCTTTCAGTGAAAAAAAAAAAATACACCAAGTTGTTTTGTAGATAGAATGACATGTATTATTGTGTTCAGTACTACTGTTATAAAACTCTGTTCCAAATTACCTTTTAAAATATATGGAGATTTGGCTACATGTTGACCTTGGAATTTAACTTCTACCTTCAGATTTTTGTAGCTTGCATACATTCTGTATCTCACTATGAAGGATCCATCCTTCCGGTCTAAAACCTGGACTCCAACTCTTGTGAATTGCTCATCTGGTGCTGAGATTTTAACCTGGAACACCTTTTCACCTGGAGAAGATGTGAATCTGTGATGTGAAGAACAATGAGATACAGAGATTATTTTAAGAAATAAGCAACAAATGATTATGCTCTTCAATCAGTAAACTTCTTCTGTTCTCCACATTCTTCCTCTAACATGCTTGCTTCTTCTCTTTTATGCTTTCAGTGCCAGAATGAATATGATGGATCAACAATTTAAAAAATAAAGAGGAAGACAATGATGAAAATAACATAAAAGTTTCATTAGGGCTGGGGTTGTGGCTCAGTGGTAGAGTGCTTGCCTGGCACATGTGAGGCACAGGGTTCAATCCCTAGCACCACATTAAAAGAAAAAACTAAACAAAATAAAGGTATTGTGTCCATCTACAATAAAAATAATTTTTAAAAGTTTCATTAGACATTGACAAAGGGATATGTTAAGATTACTGATGTGTGTAAGCATGCAAATATTTATAATTTTATAGATAACAGTATCAGTCTGCTATTTATTTCATGTCTGTCACATCAGAAAATCTGTGATCCAATGGTGTGCCTGCAAAGATGACCTTATTTTGAAAAATAACTCTCAGTAATTCTTAAAAAATATCAGAATTATAAATCATGCCCAGGTGTGGGCAAAAGCAAGGTAGGTAGTATACCATCTTTGTAAATAAAAGTGTTTGTGGAGTGAGTGCTCTTGGAGTTGAGGTGGTATTTGTTTCTCCAACTGTACTCTTTATAGCCAAATGACAAAATTTACAGACTTCTTTTTCCTTGGAAAAATTCCCCCCCAAGTTCTGGGGTTTGAACCCTGAGCCTCACACATGATACGTGAGTACTCTACCATTGAGCTACACTCCTAGCCCCTGGAAAATATTTTATTCCTAATATATTTTTTATAAAATGCACATAAATATAAGTTTAAAGTATAGACTTCATTGGAATGAAACAGATTTCTGTTACACTCATATAGGAGTTTTGTACTGCCAAACTTTTCCTCTAAATTCTAAAATGTTAGATAGTAGTTAGTTTTTCTTATTGGGTTTTAAAACATGCTTACCCGCCCATGTCTACCTGAAACTCTAGGGCAGCACCACAGAAAGCTGAAGCCAATCAAGTTTCTAACAACCGAACTTAATTCCTTACAACAGATTATGCAAAAAGTAGTTAGAAATAGCATTTCCAGCAAAGAGTAGGAGCTTTGTTTTGCCCTGATAATGCGGGAATACTTATCAAAACAGTTAAGAGAAGAGCTATTATTATATTACATATTGCAATTCCTAATTATTTCTAAAGCTACAGAGAAAAGTTGACTGGGAAGGGGAATCCAGATGTGCATAGCATCCAAATATCCTGGAGTAAAACTGCTGTGGAGAAGCGAGTTTTGGGGTGGATGAGAAACAAAGGAAGAAACAAAAAGTCTTAACGCAATCCCGAATAGTTGAAGAGTGGTTTCTTGACTTACTTATCCCCTGATGTATCCACCGCCTGAATATAGAAATAGCGGGCGGGAAGGACGACATCTGCTTTTAGTCCGGGTCCCCATATTTCGCTCTTCTCTGGGCTCAGTCGCCTCTCTCCGCCGGTCTCGGCAAGTGCTGGAACCGTCCCCAGAAAAAAGCAGTAAAGCAGCAAAATGCTGAACATTTACAAGTCGGACTCTCGAGATGATCCACGGATAAATGCAGACGTGTAAGAAGGGGACGACACCAGCGGAGACCTGGGCAGCGGCACGTTGGTGGGTCGCGGCGGCTAACGCGGCTCCAGAAAGTGTCCTTTAATGTGCACGGCAGGCGCTTGCTCGACTCTCCACGTCCCCACAAAGTCACAACCGGAGCGCTGGCATGTCCAGGTTAAGGATGCTAGTCGTTCTACTAAGACCGGCAAGAACCGCGCTGCTTCTCTTTCTTGGGGCAACTATAAACTTGTGCTATTTTTGCTGTTGGAGCATCATTTGGGGGGCGAATCCGTTCCAGGTTCCAGCTAAGGTACAAGGCGAGAGGATTGGCCTGCCGCGGGGCCAGGCTTAGTAAGGGCTTCTCCAAGTGGATGGCAGAGTGGACACGCGGCCCGGCCCCCCAGGCTCCCTGGGATATGTAGTTCGCGGCAGGACTAGCGGAAATCCTGCCAGATTCTTTCTTTCTTCCTTTTCTCCCCCTTCCTCCCTCCTCCCCCGCTTTTTTTTTTTTTTTTTAAACCAACTCTCATCCATATTTTACTTTTTGGTCGTGGCTTTCATGGAACAGATAAACACTACAGATGTCCAATAGAGGCGCACAAGGGCCTGGAGTCACAGCTAAGATTTTTCATTTCTTTGGTCACCACATCCTCAGCACGTGCAAAGGTTAGATATAAAAGGAGGGATGAAAGGAAGGTGTTGTCACTGATGTCTGACGACCTGTGGCCGGCCATCGCAGTCCAAAGTGCTGCCCTGGCGCGCTCCAATGGGACCAGAGACACCTACCCCAGGGTAACCCGAGGCGCATCGCTGGCGGCGTGCTGGCAGCTGTGATCCGGGTCCGGCGCGAGGCTCCACGAGTGCCGCAGCGACCCAACCCGGCTGCACTGACCAGAGGTACACTGGGGAGTGGGCAGGAGTCGAGGTGACCTCCAGCAGTGCGCCCCCCCCCCCCCCCCCCCCCCCGGGCCCCCGGGGGGGGGGGGGGGACTCGGGGTACAACGGCGGGGCCTGCTGCCGCCCGAACGCTCTAGGAGCCTTCATCGCCTCCCTAGCTGAGAGAGGTCTAGCCTCTCCGGAGTTCTGTCGCGTCCGAATGGACTGCATTGATGCCTGTCCTTCCTGGAAGGAGTAGGGTCGCAGAGGGAGAGAGAAGCACCATGGGTAGAAAGGACGAGTCCTTTCGGGAACAAAGCTCAATTTGGAAGTGCCCAATAGACACCGGTGACCACTATTCAGCTCTGGTCTCCATGCCACGCTCGGCAGGACCCGGGGCACCCAGCTCGCGGTGGCGGTCCCCTCCCGCTGCGCGCCCGCACCCGGCCTGGGCCGCCAAAGTGGTGGCGGGTGCGCGACTAGGGAGGCCTCAGGATCAGCTGGAAACCGGGCGCCGCCCCCTCTGCCTGTTTCCCTCCCTGGACCCTTCTGAGCTACCCGAAAACCCAAATGGGCCGGGTGGCTCGATGCGCCCAGGCGGGTCTGGTTGGGGAGCAAGGCAGGGGGTTCTTCTGTTTTTCGCCGTTGTCCTTAGGAACATAAACTCCCATTCACATCCGGAACCCGGGAGCTCTGCTGTTCGCCCGGGGGCAGTAACTTCCCGCTTCCCATCCGCCCCGGAATCTTTAGCCCCAAAAGTCCCAGGGTCCCCGGACAGGTTGGTGACGGTCACTTCGGCCTCCACGCGCTCCCCCTTGCGGCAAACCACGTCTTCCGGCGCCAGAGCCAGGGAGGAGGGAGCCTGGAGGCGAGGAGGCCTGGACCATCCTCCGCGGGTGCGGGGACCCGGGCCGCCGGGCCTCGGTAGGTGCGCGGGGCGCGCGGGCGGTGGCCGCCGCGGGAGGGCTGTGGCACCGGCGCACCGCGCTGTCTAGTCCCGGCCCGCGCCGCCTCTGCACACACCGGCTCTGCGCGGCGAGCACCGGCCTGCGCGACCGTCGCCGTGGTCCCAGCGTCCTCCCAGCCCGGCCGAGCCGCGAGCGTCGCAGAGGAGGCGGCGGAACACGCGCGGTCTCCCCGGGTGCCTGGCTCCGGCGCGGGCGCAAGGAGTCCCAGTATCCTTTCGTAGGCCGCCGGCCTCTGCGCTGGGGAGGCGGGGTGTGATCGCGGGGCTGCAGCGGTGGGGAAGGCACCAGGTGGGAAGGAGAGACAAGGCTGGGTCTGGGCCCTTCTGGTCTGGCCCTTGGGCACGTTCAACCCTCAGTAAGTCCCTTAACTGCCCCTGCGTCTCAGTTGCCTTCCATACAGGGTATAGATCATAGTCGTCGTACATGGAAGGCTTTACGGAGGAGATTTTAGGGATGTTTAGTTCTCGAGTAAACTTGATACTGAAGAACACGGATTTAAAATATAACTTGAAAGGAATATAAGATGATCAATGAATATTGGCTTTACAAACGGTATGTTTATTTTAAGAACAGTGTTCCCATGGCTTTTACAAATCGTTATCCTAAGGATGTATTCAAAGCTTGCCATTTCATTAAATTTTGCTTGGCATACAATTAAACATTTCTGTTGCTTGTGACATGATATTATGAATAAATCATTACACCCTGCAGTCATTCTTATTAGTAAGTCCTAATACATCTATGCCTCACATATTTGGATGAGGGCACCTCCATCAAAATGAAGGCTTACAGTAATGCCTGGTGGATGTAGGCACTCCAAACATATATGTTGAACCAGACTTCTACAGCTATTAGGTTCTGGGGATACAACAGTCAGGAACCAGACCTTTATCATATGAAAACACACACACACACACACACACACACACACAAGCATGCACTCTCGCACTAATGTACAGTTACACCCTGGGAAGACCTGTGCAGGAAACCTACTACCCCAATATGTACTGGGTGATCTGGCCTAGTTTGAAGAGCAAAGAAAGCTTCCCCAGAAAGTGACCTGTATGGACATTTGAAAGATGAATGGAAATTAATAAAGGAGGGTATGTGGGAGGGGAAAGCACCACAGAGAACCAAAAAGAAGTTTGGAGGTGGGTGGTGGTGGGAGTTGTGAGGAAGAGCTAAAGTAATAGATCTGTGGCCAGATGGGGAGTTGGCCTTTTGTTCCTAGAGCAGAGGGTTTTAAGGCAGGGAAGTTCTATGATCATAATGTGTAGCAAAGTTTGTTTTCTAATGTATGGGTACAGGTCAGATTAGAAATGATGTGAGCTGGGGAGCTAGGAGTGAGCATGGAATTGGGGATGGTTTATAAATATGGAGACAAAGGGAGATCCAACATGTGAGAACCATGACAGCTGCAGGCTAAGTGGAGGGACACTCTGCCCCTCTAGATACTGAAGTATGTCCAGTATTTCCCAAGGCTGTAATTACAGCATAATACAACAATAGATGTCTGTAATGATTCTGTTATCAGCAAAAAATTGTGCATAGTTCACTGTAAGAAAGCCAAGATCTGAGCAAAGTTCTCAGGACACAATGGTAAAGCCCCTCTGGCTTGCAGTGGAGAGTAGACATGGATCAGTACAATGTGGAAAGAAAATAAACACTAGTGTGGGTTTGGGTCATGCGTTTTAGATAAGTTTCATTTTCTGTGTGATATCTTTTGGTACTTTGTGTTTTCTTCTGCAATATATTTTACTCAAATAGTAAAACCTATAAATAGTAAACAAAATTTTCACAGATAAATTTACATATAAACAGTGGTTCAAATGAGAAGGTTTTGATACCCTTGGTTTTTAGTGACAATGTAAAACACATCTTCATGTTGACCAAGATCTTTTCCTCCTCCTCTTCTTTCTTTCTTTCTTTTTTCTTTTTGTAAAATTGCATCCAAAGAGCACATTCTTGTTCAGTGACCATTATTTAAGAGCAAATAAACCCCAAACACATATGAAGCCAGACTGTTGTGTTTTTATTAATGAAGTGTTTTATTCTTTTCTGGCTGTAGCTTTCTGTAAGCTGAACCCCAACTTTTAATTTCCTTTTGCCTGTATTTTTGATCCAAATATCTACTATATATGTTCCAAATGAGCGTACTTCATAAAATTACCAAACTGCCATACAGAGAACTGGACCCACCAGCAAAATTTCATTTAAGTGAGGAAAAAGCTATGACAAAACACAGCTAAGCTTGAGATGGTGATATAGAAAGGGCAGTGCATGAGACATCTCCATCTCCTCCCACTCAACCAGCATCAGTGGCCTCTGTCCTTTGCTCTACATGTGAAACTTGGTCTCTTTCTCACCTACTCCAGCCTAGCCACACAACCCCACAGACCCAATTCTCCACACTAGCTTTTCGAAAAGGGCATGAGGATGACAGATAGGAAGTAGAAAATATTACTCTAGGACATCTCTGAGACCAGAATTGGGTCGGTAAACCTCAGGCACAGCTTTCCTTTGCAACTTCCAACACCACAAAAAGAAGAAGCAGCAGAAAGCTTAAATGCTTTTGTCTGGAGATAGGATACACCTGCTCTTAAAATTTCCTTATCAAAAAAAAAAAAAAAAAAGGAAGTTTCCAAAATGAAACTCTGCAGGTTCCATGTTTTGGGGTGCAGCACCTCTCAAACCACTCCTGCACACAAATATAAACTGCAGACTACTGAAAAGCCCTCCCTGAAGGTATGGGCAGAAAGAAAGCATTCCTTAGAAGTAAAAGAAATTGCATCCCATCTAGCACATATGGAGTTCTCCTCACATGGAGTCTGTTTCCCTAAACTCCACGAAGAAATTGCCATTTCTCTCCAGTTTCTGCTCAGGGATCAGGAGAAGCTAGAGGCTCTGTGTGAATTGTCTCCATCATTGCAGGCTCCGTTATAGACTTAGGTCATTCAGTGTTTGTATGACTTTTTATATAATCAGTTCTGTGTAACTTATGAAAATCATTTTTGTTTCTAATTTTTAATGTAAGCAAAGGGGAGAGAGATTAACTGTAGAGAGTCCAACTGGTCCCCTGCAGTGGATGGAATCTCTTATGTGCTGCTCCATCCCTAGAACCCAGAGAAATCTGCACTCTCTGCCCAGCGCCTGCTGGCTTCACGGTGTCTCCCACATTACCTGGGAAGGTTTGAGTCATTAAAGACTTCCTTTTATATGAATCTTTAGCTGCTTTGAGTGCCCTCGGGTGCTATTTAAACTTTTCTGTTTTCTTCCTCAAAAGAATCAAGTTGGTCCTGAAATTTAGCCTTTCTGAGATGATTCAGAAGGTTGTGACACCTGGATTGGAACTGTTGTTTTTGGTCAGGTGAAGAACCTTAAAAATTAAAATTCTATATTATTTGTGGATTTAGATCCATGACCATTACCATCATATATCTTTGTTGCCTGTATACTTTTTTAACAATCTTGCCCAAAGCACTATTTTTTAGATAGCTTTGTTGAGATATAATTCGCACACCATCCAATTCACCCATTAAGGGGTAAACTTCAATGGCTTTTAGTATATTTTAATATATTCACAAAGTTGTATATTCACCGCCAATCATTTATTAAATATTTTAATTCTTCAAAAAACCCCTTCACCCAACCCACCAGCTGTACACAGCCACTAAGCTGCATTCTGTCCCTGTATACCTGTCTGTGCTAAAACTATATAAAAGGAGTCATGCAGTGTCTTTTTCTTTGTGGTTGTCTTCTTTCACTTGGTATAATGCTTTTAAATTTCATTCATGTTGCGTCATGGATCAGTACTTCTTTTATTGCTTTTATTGCTGGATATACTACTGACCATAAGTCACTTGATGGGCATCTGGTTCATTTCCTCTTTTTGGCTATTGTGAGTAACATTGCTATTAACATGTGGATGTGTTTTCACTTGGGTGTGTACCTAGGAATGAACTTGATACCACATGGTAACTCCATTTAAATGCCTGAAGATCTTTTGCCCAAATCGACTGGACCATCTACATTTCTGTCAGTGTGTGAGGGCTCCAGTTTCTTCACATCCTTGTCAGTGCTGGTTATCACCTGTCATTTGGTTATAGGCAGCCGACTCTTAAGTTAGTACCTCCTTACACTTTTGATTTGTATTTCTGTGGTGGCTAGAGATGCTGCACATCTTTTCATGTGCTCCTTGGACATTCCTCTTTGGAGAAGTGACTATTCAGATACTCAGTCCATTTTTTTAACTAGGGTATTTGTATTTTTCTAATCTTTTATTTTAGGCTAATTTTAAAAATAATATGGATGGCTACTGATCATAACTCTAGGCATATGGCCATTGGAAAATCCAAATGGATTGAACGAAGGCATACGAATAATACCTAATAGAATTTTTAGTGTCATGCGGGTTGTTGATCACTCTTTCTCCTCCCTCTTTCCTTAGGATCCCATTCCACAGCTCTCAAGATTTTACAGAATGCTGTAAGTAATTGTCAAAGTTGTTTTTCAAGAAACAGAAAGGGTTGCAACTTCTTCCTAGTAATAGAAACTTTTACAGTTGCATTCAATGCCTAACGTTGCGGAAACCGAAAGGTCCAATGATTCTGGAAATGGTGGACACAAATCTGAGAGGAAGTCTCCAGAAGAAAATCTACAAGGTGCTGTCAGATCTTTCTGCACAAGTGCCTCGGGAGCACCCTTGGGTCCCAGAGGAGATGGGCATTATCCATGGAGTTGTCCTGTGACTCATACTCGGGAGAAAATTTATGCCATCTGTTCAGACTATGCCTTTCTCAACCAGGCAACCTCAATCTATAAAACCCCCAATCCAGCCCGCTCTTCTTGCCTCCCTGATAGTACCTCGTTACCTTCTGGAAATAATTCATCAAGGTACGTCGGTATCCCGACTAGTACATCAGAGATAATCTATAATGAAGACAATAGTTTGGAAAACTTATCCAACAGTCTGGGCAAGCTACCTCTCGCATGGGAAATCGATAAATCAGAATTTGACGGGGTGACTACAAATTTGAAACACAAATCAGGTAAGAAGGAATCCTGTTGTTCATATGTGCAAACAATGAGAAAACCAACATGGTGTTTTGTTTAATCTTGTCATTAAACATGTTTTCCTTTTTAAAAATTTTTTATTCGTTTTTTTGGTACTTGGGAACTCAGGGACACTTGGCCACTGAGTCACATCCCCAGCCCTATTTTGTATTTTAGGTCTCAGTTGCTAAGCACCTCGCTTTTGCTGAGGCTAGCTTTGAACTCTCCATCTTCCTGACTCAGCCTCCCGAGTTGCTGGGATTATAAGTGTGTGCCTGTGCCTGGCATGTTTTCCTTTTATAACACTGACCAAGAAACATTGCTATCATCTTGTCTGTCGTTGTGGTTAAAATAAAGTAACCTTGGACATAGGTCAGTTAGTTCATTCATGCGTTGCCAATGGAAGTGCATTTTGCTTTGAATATCAAGGAATATTTTAACAACAGGTATTACAGATAAGTACACAGTAACTTAGACATGGTTAATGATGTGACTAGAATGATGCGATTATTTCGTAGTTTCACAGACATGAAGTCATAGTTCCTAAACTAGAAAACATTTGGTTTTCTTTTCATTATATAATAACCTTATATCTTTTGCTGTTAAAATGTTTTGAGTCCCCAGTGAGGTCTCCAGGTACCATTGAATAGGCTGTGTACTATACAACTTAGGAGGATGCTGTTCACTTATAGTGCAGTGCACATCTTTTCACAATCACAGCTGAGTGGTCCTGTGGTGGGTACTAATGCTTTTCAATTCTGAACTCATGGTAATGTATGAATTTTGTGAGATAGATACTGTTATCCTTACTTTATAGATGAAGAATTAGGCTTAGCAGGAACAAGTCTGTTGCTAAAAGTTGCACATTATCAGGAGGTAGAACTTGGATTTGTATTTGGCTTCCAAGCCCTTCTGAATTCCTGTTAGTTTGTGAAGCATATTAGGCTGGCCACCCTATCTAATACCACCGTCTCCTCATCTCAGTTAAGGGCACGGTCTTCAGTGACAACTGCTCTTTACTCTTGATGATGGACATTTTTCTTTTTGCCTGTTAAGTCTAACTAGGAATTCACCAGTTTTTCATCTTTTTGAACAGCCAGTTTTTAGTTTGTTAATTTTCTCGGTTATATATTTTATTTCATCCATGTCTGCCCTGTTGTCTCCTTTCTTCTCCTTACTTTGCTCTTCATTTTCTGACTTAAGATGGAAGCTTAGATCATGGATGGGAGACTTTCTGCCCTATGCATGTAATGCTTGGGGTTGTTCTCAAGTGCTGCTTTAGCTGCAGTCCACAAACTTTGATACCCTTTATTATTATTATTTAATTTAAAGTATTTTCTAATTTACTTTGCAGTTCTTTTTTGATACATGCATTACTTAGACATGTGCTGTTTCTCTTCCAGATATTTTTTTTTTCCTAAATAGTGATTTCTAATGTAATACCATGGTGGACAGAAGACAATATGGTTTTGTGACTGTATTAATCAGGGTTCTCTAGAGGAACAGAATCAACAGGAAGGATAATTATAAAAGGGGATTTATTAGATTGGCTTATGTGACCAGAAGCTGGATAGTCCACAATGGCTGTCTGCGGGCTGAAGAGCTGGAAGAACCAGTAGCTGCGCAGTCCAAGAGGCTAAAGCCCCAGAACAGGAGGGTTCAACAGTGCTACCCTAGTATGAGACTGAAGGTTTCTGCAGAATCAGTGGCAGAGTCCCCTTTGGAAGCAGAGTCTGATAACTTAAGGTGATTGCAGTAGTAATTAAGAACCTCTTCAAGAAGAATTTGCTGTGCTACTGTTTCCTTGTTCTTCTAACTTTTATTCCATCCAAGCCATCATCCTATTGGATGGTGCTGCCCTCACTTAAGTAGGGTCTCCGTTTCAGTTGGCTCTCCCACATGCCAATGACTCTTAGACAGACCCTCATTGACATGCCAGTAAGTCTCTTAATCATGGACATCTCTTAATCCAATCAAGTTGACAATTCAAATTAACCATTACAATGCCAACATAGGACCTATCTTGGTGAATATACCATGTGCTCTTGAGAAAAAATGCACTCAGCAATTATTGGGTGTATCTATCAATATTAATTAGGTCAGTATTTGGGTGTGTTTGCATCTTTTGTCTCTAATTCTTGTTTTATTCTGTCCATTGCTGAAAGGGGGTTGCTGATAATCCCTAACAATGGTTGGGTCATCTTTTCACCATTGAATTTCTTTTAAAAATAATACTTTTTAAAGCAGCAGTAAACAGCAAATGACATTAAATTTACCGTCTTAGCCATTTTTTATGTGTACAATTCCGTGGCACTAAGTATGTTTATTATTGTCAGTGATTCCCTCTCTCCATCCCAGGTCTCTTTTCATCTTGCCAACCTGAAACTCAGTACCCACTAAAAATGTCTCCCTCTTCCCTCTTTCCTCAACACCTGGCAACCACCATTCCACTCTGTCTCTGAATCTGATGACTCTGGGAACAGCGTGTAAGTGGAGTGGTACAGTGTTTGTCTTTGGGGACTCTTATTTGTGGTCACCCTGCTCTCTTCTGCTTAATATTTACCTGGAATACCTTTTCCATTCTTCCTCTGTCAGCCAGTTTGTGTCTCTAATGAAGTGAATGGAGAACATACAGTTAGATCTGCTTCCTTAAATCCATTCTTCCGAGAGAGAGAGAGAGAGAGAGAGAGAGAGAGAGAGAGAGAGAGAGAGAGAATGAATTAATTTTTAGTTTTTGGTGGACACAACATCTTTATTTTATTTTTATGTGGTGCTGAGGATCGAACCCAGAGCCCCCCCCACCCCTTACCACTTGAGCCACATCCCCAGCCCAACCACTCTCTGTCTTTTGATCAGAACAGTTGGTTCATTTGCATATAAAGTAAATACTGATAAGGAAGGACTGACTTCCCTTCTTTGAGCTATTTGTTTTCTACCTGCCTTACAGCTTCGTTTCCCCCATTTTCTGCATTACTATCTTGTTTTTTTTATTTTTTTGCAGTGAAATGTTTTAATTCTTTTTTACTTCCTTTTATTTATATATGTGTATTCTATAGGCATTTTCTTGGTGGTGTCTATGGGGATTACATGGAACATCCTAATATTGTAACAATCCAGTTTGAACTTTTACCATCTTAAATTCAGTAACATTAAAAAATTCTGTTCCTATAAGCTTTACCCTCACACTCTTGGAGTTATTGATGGTACAGCATTGCATCTTTATATGTAGTGTTTTCCAGAACGTAAACTAATATTTTGATGCATTTAATCTCTTAAATAATGTAGAAAAAATGTGAAGTTACAAATCAAATTAATAATACTAGCATTTTTTTAATATTTATTTTTTAGTTGTAACTGGACACAATATCTTTATTTAATTTATTCATTTTTATGTGGTGCTGAGGATGGAACCCAGGGCCTCGCACATGCTAGGCAAGTGCTCTACCGCTGAGCCACAGTCCCAGCCCCATAATACTAGCTTTCAAATGAATAATAGTTTTTAAAAAATGTATTAGTCTCTTACGTCATGTGGAGCATAGGAAGTGGAGTTGCAAACCAAGGATCAACTAATAATTTTATAGATGTTCATGTAAGTACATTCACTGAGATCTTTATTTCTTCCCATTGCTTTGAGTTTCTGTCTAGTGTCCTTTCATTTCAACCTACAGGACTCCCTTTAGCATTCCTTGCAGGGCAGATCTACTGGTAATGAACTCCCCCAGTTTTTGTTAGGGAATGTCTTAATTGTTCCTTCACTTTTGAAGGACAGTATTGCTAGTCTTAGGAGTCTTAGTTAATATCCTTCCTTCTTTTAGCATTTTGAATACATCAGTCTGCTACCTTTTGGCCTTCAAAATTTCTGATGAGAAATCTGTTGGTATTCTTCTTGGGGACACCTTGTTGGTGATAAGTTGCTTCCCTCCTGCTGTTTTCAAGATTCTTTGTCTATCTTTCAACAGTTTGCTTATAATGTGTTTTGGAGTGGGGTCTTTTTGGGTTCATTCCTCTTGGAGTCGCTGAGATTCTGAAATGTTTATATTCATCTTTCATCAAGTTTGGGAAATTTTCAGCCGTTATTTATTTTGGATAATCTCTTTTCCCCTTTCTTTCTCTCCTCTCCTTTGGAACCACCATAATGTATAGGTTGGTCCACGTGATGGTGTCCTCAGCTTTGTTCACTTTTCTTCAATCTTTCTTTTTCTGTTCCTCTGACTCAATATTTTCAGTTGTTCTGTGCGTTCAAGTCCACCAATTGTTTCTTCTGCCTGCTCAAATCTGCTATTGAATCCCTCTAGTGAATTCTTCATTCGTTATTGTTATTATTCAGCTGAAGAATTTCTTTTTGGCTTCTTTTTGGGTTTACTGTCTCTTTATTGTTATTTCCATTTGTAATATATATATTGTCTCTCTTTAGTTCTTCAAGCGTCTTTAAGACAGTGGTTTTAAAGTCTTTGTGTAGCCAGTCTGCCTTCTGGCCTTTCGCAGAGATGGTGTGTGTGTGTGTGTGTGTGTGTGTGTGTGTGTGATATACATATATATATATTTTTTTCCTTTGAATGGGCCGTATTTCCCTGTTTCTTTGTGTGTCTTGTGATTTTGATATTTCTGTTGGAAACTGGACTTACAAATGTAATCTAATAATCTGGAAATCGGATTATTCTCTCCTGCTAGGGCTTGTTGACTTGTTTTTGTTTTTTGATTGTTATAGTCTGTATCCGTGCTGCTTATCAGACTGAGGTCTAAACTTAAGGGATTCTGAGATCTTTTTTAAAACCCACGTCTTTCCCTGGGTATGCATAGTGACTTTCTAAATTACCCTATGTATGTTGTTGCTTTTGAATATCCTAGAATTTAAAGGTTTGGTTGCCAAAAAGGATAAAAAAGAAAAGTGAAGGAGAATTTTAAAAAGGAAAAAAATAATAACACAAAAAGGCATTGGGACTTTTCATCCTCTGGAGGGGGACAGCTGTAGTGGGAGTGGGGTAAAGGAATAGCTGTCCCCTCCATGCATCTGTGCTTCTAAGACCAGAAGCAGCAACCAGCAATTAAGACACATATCCCCAAATTTTGTAGGACACAGTCCCTGTGGTGCCCAGCCTGGCTTCCTCAAGCTGCCTGGAAGATGCTCAGGACCACTTGCATTCTTGCCTGTCCCTGAGCTGGGGCTGGGTAGGCAGTACCTTGCTGTGAGCTGAAATTGACTAGAACCATCAACAATTTACTCTGCAAGCCTTTCCCTGGAAGTCACCATCCTTTTTGTAGACTCCAAGTATCCAGATAGTCACAACAGATTTGTGGGTGTAATTGTCCACATGGGGAGATAGATTCCTGCTGCTCTCCACTGTCCTGTTCATTCTGTAGACTTTTAAAAACTGTGATTTGAAGCTTATATTAGGTGCATACACATAACTTTATGGGTTTTATCCCTTCTTCATGAACTGGCCCCTTTTGTCATTATGAAATGTCTCGTTATCCCTGGCAGTATTTGTTGTTCTGAAAGCCAGTGTGTTTGATATCGATATAAATGTTGCAGCTTTCTTTTGATTAGTGTTTACGTAGATGTCTTTTTCCATTCTTTTATTTTAGTTTTAGAATTTATACTTCTTTTTAGCTTTTCTTTCTTACCTGGAAAGGTTTGCCATCTTTTCATTTATTACCAGAACATTTCGTAGATCTCAATGTGTAATTCTAATGCCTGCTGAGTTTTTTGTTACGGCAAGCAATAAATTTGGTTGAACCAAAACTGTAAATTCTCTTTTGGGGACAGCTTCATTCTCAGTTCAGTCCTTTTAGCCTCAGCTGTTTTGCTGGGGGCTTGCTCTATGCATGCATGCTTCAGGGATCAGCCCAAGATTTGGCCCCAATTTATAGACACAATCTGGGCCTCCCTTTCTTTGCAGCTCCCCTTTTTTCTGCCCCTTCCCACTTTCCATTGATGGTAATTGTCCAGAACTTTTTTATGCTCCTTCAAGTAAAAATGATGATGCATTTTCTTTTATATGCTAGCTTTATACCTTTTTCTAAAAGCCAGTGTAGTGTGTGTGTGTGTGTGTGTGTGTGTACACATTGGTGATGGGGCTACATGGTGAGTTGTGGGTAGGATATGGGAATGACAAGGGGCAGTGGGCAAAGGTGACTGAATTGATATGATGGGGAGACAGAAGTGTTCAGAGGTTGCTCTTTTCTGTTCCCATCCCAACTTCCACTTTGATGTGGATTCCTTTTGTCTACAGGACCCACGGGCTCAGTGGGTTCTTATGCTCTCTACCAGAAGAATCAGGCCATGCACATGTGTAAAAGGAATGAGGCTCTTCAGTGGAGGCTTCTTCTTGACCCAGAAAGGAGACAGTGCTGATGAGAGAGTCAGGATGGCTAAAGCAAAATACAAGAGCTGTAGAATTTTTTAAAAAATATTTATTTTTTAGTTGTAGTTGGACACAATACCTTTATTTTATTTATTTTTATATGGTACTGAGGATCGAACCCAGGGCCTTGCACTTGCTAGGCCAGCACTCTACTGCTGAGCCACAATGCCAGCCCGAGTTGTAGAATTTTTATGGCGTCTGTAGTGTAGGCAGGGTCCAGTCCCTTGATGCCATCACCTCTACAGGGTTTTAGCTGGGCCTGTCTCTTCTTCAGCCTGCCCTTTCATGCAGCACATGTCTCATTACCATCTTCAGTCTCACATTGGGACATTGCTAATATTTTAATTTATATAATTTTGTGAATGAAAAATCCATTAGCATGGTTCAGAGATTAAAAATTGCCAAAGAAGTAAAGGTGGCTGTGGGTAACCTCAGTGACTGTTCTGTGCATGCATTTGCCCCTCACCCCCTGATGTTGCTCCTTGTCATCTGGGAAAGTCCCTAATATTTTTTTTCAGGACAGGGAAGACTATTGTCTGATTTCAGTGGGTTTGATTTAGTGACCTTGTCTGGCTGTGGCTTCTTGGTATTACTGTTGACAACATGATGTCAGAAGGCTGAGCTGTCTTCCAACCTCCCTTCTCCTGGTGAGTTATCTTAATTTTATGGCCTTAAAGATTGGTCCAATTTTTAACTCCTAATTTTCTGGTGCATCTGTTAACTGCATAAGGCTGAGAGCCTGCTTGGCTATCTCATTTCCCCCAAAATAAATTACTCCCTTAATTTTAAGAGGATTCTGTTTTTTTATTGGGGGCAGGGGTAGTTTCCCTGACTCAGGATTAAACCAAAAGTGCACAGAAGACAGGTTCCTGCAGCCCTTGGAGGAAAGTGGAAGAACAGACCTTCCGTGGCCTGCTGTGGTCACAGATTTCCATGTTTTGTTAGCTGTGAAACTAAGTGGCTAGGAAAACTGTCAAGGGAATTAAGTCATTATTAGGCAGTGAAGATATTTCAGGAAATGGTAGAAAGTCATTTTTCTGTCTTCTGACTCTTTACTGTCCATTTGATCAGTGAGGGAAAGTTGGCACAATGAGTTTTAGCTCGTTTGCAGGTGGTTGCTCAGCTCTGTGAAAAATATGATGTTCTCTGTGAAGACTAAGAATAATTTAAACAAAGGGGGGAATTGCTTCTTGATTGTACAGTCTTCCTTATTCTGACACTTTACAGATATTACATATGTTACAATAGTTTCTGAGTTCCAGCTTGTTTTGGGTGTCACAGGGTTGCATTGTAGGAACTTTGAGAAAAGTTGTATGTGTGTGTGTGTGTGTGTGTGTGTGTGTGTGAATAGTTTCTTTTTTTTTTTCAGTACTGGGGATTGGACTCAGGGGTGTTTTATCACTGAGCAACATCCCTAGACCTTTTTATTTTTTATTTTGAGATAGGGTCTCACTAAGTTGCCCAAGTTGGCCTTGAACTTGTGATCCTCCTGAATTGCTGGAATTTTTTTTGTGTTGTGTGTCACCACACCTGGCTGTGGTAGGCATTTTGAATGAATAATGCAATTCCCTGGCCATGTTTGTTTTCTAGGAATGTATCTATATAATCTGTTTTATAACCTTCAGTTATGTTTTTTTTTTTGTGGTGCTGGGGATTGAACCCAGGGCCTTGTGCATGCAAGGCAAGCACCCTACCTACTGAGCTATATTCCCAACCTTAACTAACCTTCAGTTAAATTTTATGAAAGTATTTAAAGTATCTGAGTGTAGTTGCCTGAAATGTTAATAGCATTTTAACTAAATGAGTTTGGACATTGCTAATATTTTAATTTATATAATTTTGTGACCGAAAAATCCATTAGCATGGTTCAGAGATTAAAAAGAATAAAAATTAAACAGGTAAATTTTCACATTTGCCTCCCTTTTGTCCAGCTGATAATTCTTCCAGGAAACCACTGTTGGTTGTCTGTCTCTGGGGAGGTGTATGTGCACGCGTGCATGTGTTTGTGTGTATACATGCATACATATGTACGTGCATGCACAGGGAAAGGAGACTTTTTCTACCATTTTGGTTCCTGGTGCTAATGTTAAATTCTAATAATGCGCATGTGCATCATTTGCCATTCATTTGTGTCTCTGAAGGCCTCGAGGGATTTTTAAGCATCCATAATCACATTACTGCATACAGCACTTTTGCTTTTTAACAAATTTGCATTAATGTGGTTTTACTACATTAGAAGAAATTGTGTTAGAAGAAACACAATTTATTTTCTGGAAATGGTCTAGTTCAATAGTTTACTGTTGATAACTTGATTTTCTAGATGTAGCTAAAGATTTTGTGATTGATTCTTCACCAGCTAAGTGACTAGCTCTGGATTTGCAATGTAAGAACTTAATCAGAGACAGCAACCCTGGTTGATCAAATAATTTTTTTTTCTGTCTTGCTTTCTCTTCATGAGAACTATTCTTGAAAATACATGTATTACTTCACTGTGTTTGCAAATGTCATTTTTAGAGCTAATGGTAGTTGCTTTTTTTTTTTTTTTTGTGGTGCTGGGGATTGAACTGAGGGCCTTGTGCATGCAGGGCAAGCACTCTACCAACTGAGCTATATCTCCAGCTCACTTTTAAATTTTGATATGTAATTTTTATCATGGCAGCTTACTTCATTCCAAACAGTTTGTTTATTTTATTCTTTGTATTCTAGGCAATGCAAAGAAACAAGTTTCCAAGAAAAAAACTTCTGAGAAAAAAGGAAGGCATCAGAGGGAATGTCCTCAGCATTCTCCTCTTGAGGATATTAAACAGCGGAAAGTATTAGACCTCAGACGATGGTACTGCTGTCATTACAATTTTTACTTTTCAATTTTTAAAATACATATTTTGGCAATAACTTTGGTATTATAAGTTAATAAATCATATGTGATAAATATTTCTAATTCTCAGATTATATCCAGGATTTATAAATATTCAAAGTGTACTACAAATTTTTGGAGTAGATTAATTATGAGCCATGCCCATGTTTCCCAGACTCTCCTGGCTATTAGAATAATCTATGTGAAAGAAGAGGTACTGGGCCCTGAATTAGAATAAGATATATTCCATGCTTTTATAATTATGTCAAAATGGATTCTACTGTCATGTATAACTAAAAAAGAATCATCTGTGTAATTCCATATTATGGTTATCTAAATGGTCATATTTTGATATAGTTATATGCCTAGTTTTTCTTTGCTGAAGAATTTTAAAGTAAATGACTGAAATCAATCATATTTTACATAACATGCCTAAGTATCATCTCTAAAAAATGGCTTTTATGTAACCAGGTACTACTCTCAGATCTAATAAAATTAGCAATATTTCTTTAACATATAAATCCTAGGCTGAATTCAGTTCCAAGATTGTCTGAAAATGTCTTCACACCTAGCCCATAGATTTTTTTTTTTCCTAAGGTAGAGATAAACCATTGAAGATTTCTTAATGAAAGCCATTTTACAAAGATAATCTGGGAGTAGTTAGTATGTAGTATGTATTGGAGAAGAAACACAAAAATAAAAAATTAATTCAGACTTCTTTGAAGAATGGCTTTGTACATTTTTGCTTCCAGCCTTCTAGACTTATGATTTGTTTTAATAACAAGTATGTGTAATTAAATGTTAATGTTATAACATGTGAGGCCACAAAGACAGACTAGGAAGGACAGATGGGAGAAATGCCTTGAGGGGAATAATTCTAGGGCTATTTTCCACTAAGAGTATTGCAAGATTAGGGTTGGAGTAGGAAAGCCTATAAAAGATAGTAAAGTGTTGGTAAAAATTTTAACCTGGTGGAGAATAAGACCAGTTAACAAGTTTCGATTGATGAAGAAGTATGAAAAATTTTAAGGGAAACTTTCCTTGCCCTCTGTCTTTTAAAAAAAAATTAAAATTTTTATGCTTTAGGCCATACTTGGTATTACAAAAAGAATTTGTAGGCATATAATACTTCCAAATATTTGTAAAGATAAATTCTGTGACATATAAAACACTGTATATTATTGGATTTGTAAAATAATCCCAAAGGTTGAGGCAGAATTGTTCACAATAGAAAAAAGAAAAAGTCAATAAATGAATAAGTTACTAGTGCTTCATCAGGGTGGACCACAAATTAATCACTTGTCCACAAAAATTTCTTACATTGAAATTCATACTCACATTGATTACTTTGAATAAAGACAACAGCAAACTGTGGAGATGCTTTCTGGTGGCCTCCTTGTTTTCACTAAAAAAAATCAATGGTATTCCAATGGATTAGTGGTCACTTTGAACCTCGGGAGGATCAAATGTCTGAGGAGGAAAACTAGCTTGATGAGATGCCTTGGGATGCCCAAGATTTGTGAAGTGTTTAAGATGGAAGTGGGGGGGCGGGGCGGATTTCAATATGACAGAGTAAGTATAGGCTTTAAAAAAAATTCCATTCCTTTCTGAAAACCCATGAATAACAGCAGCAGCAGCAAAATGAAAACCAGGGGGAAAGCTCCATCTTCTTTAGAACAAAGAATTAGCAATATCCCTGAACCATAGCATCTAAAATGTACTTACCATGTCCTGTGCATACTGGATCAACAGAGAGAAGACTCAGGAGCACAGACTACTGCAGACCTCAAGCAATGCAGGTCTCCTTAAATATTTATGTGATGGTCCCCCTAAACCATCCAGTGAGCCTTTGGTCAAGGGATGAAAGCAATAATGTCAGGGAGAATCTGCAGAGTTGTTTTTTTTTTTTTTTTTTTTTGTGGATATTCAGTTTAACATGGCAGAAATGCAGAGGAAGACACTGACAACCACCACTTTATCATCTTACTGCCTAACTTCCAGTTGTAGATCCATATACTGGGAAATTAAGAAAATAATCCCTTTTACAATAGTATCAAAAGTAATTAAATAATTAAGCCTAAACTCAACCAAGGATGTAAAAGACTTCTTCACTGAAAGTAACAAAACATTACTGAAATAAACTAAAGACACAAGTAAATGGAAAGTAATCTCATGTTCATGGATTGGAAGACTCAATTATCATTAAAATGACTGTAATTCCCAAAGGGATCTACAGGTTTAGTGCCATCCCTATGAAAATATCAAAGGCAATTTTTGTAGAAATGGAAAAAGAAATTCTAAAATTTGTGTGGAACTTCAACCTCTTCCCCCATGCATCTGTTTCTTCATACCTATCTGTTTGTTTTTCCTTCTTAGAAGGACACCAGCCATTGAATTAAGGGTGTACCCTTCTTCAATATGTCCTCACATCATTAACTTGAATATATCTGCAAAGACCCTATTTCCAAATAAGGTCGCATTCATAGATATCAGGAGTTAGGCTTATCTTTTTAGGGGACACTGTTAAACCCATAAAACTTAGCATATTATATCAAATGACTGTGATTAGTTTTTGTGTCTCAGGGTCTTAAGTTTCACAATTCGATCTATATATTTGAGGGTCATTGCTGATTTGTGTACATATCTGCATCATAAATTCATATACAAACATATACATACAAATATACATATGTATGAAATTTTTCTTTTTTGTAAATAATTTTCCAGGTAAGACTAAAACTGTAATTACAACGATAAGGCTTGTTTTTCTTTTTTACTTTGGCTACTCCTTAGTACCTTCATTAGTTAGGAAAACATCATTTGAAAGCTAACCTTATTTCTTCTTTAAAACTGAATCCTGTAGTCTGTTTCTTTTCCTTATGTCCATGTGAGTCTTTGTCATTTCCCTTGAAACTTGACTGCTTGGAAAATTGTCTGGGCTACACAACTGAATTGTGCCATGTAAGGGTTTTGTGTTTCATTTTTAAAATCCTCTGTGACAGTTCTGCTCAATGGATTCTTGTTCAGGACACAGTGGGTGATAAATGGATGTCTTTTAGTTTGAGTTGAAGAATCTCCCTGTAAACTTGAAATGTGGGGGACAATGCTTTGCCCTGTTTCTCCAGTATTTCAGAGGTTGCAAATAATTGCAGTTGCTGCTCAGCTAGGCATTCAAGCTGAAATTGAGTAGCAGATATCTAAATTCATATATCATCTATTTTTCCATTAGTTTGGATACTATTTATTTTAATAGTCATATTAGCTATCCTTATTAAAATAGATGATTTTTTATTATTATGCATTTATAATGTTTAATAAGTACAAAAATATTTTAAATGAATAAAGGTTTCATATTGCTTTCAGTGATCAAAACTTTCTTTATATTAACACTTTAAATCATCATTAGATGAATATTTCTGTTATTTTTTTCATATTTATTCAAATGAAGAAAGTGATCTTTTATTTTTTCAGGTACTGCATAAGCCGACCACAATATAAGACTTCATGTGGCATCTCCTCATTAATTTCTTGTTGGAATTTCTTATATAGCACAATGGGAGCTGGAAGGTAAGTATGCCACTTTATTGGTTTCTCCAATTCCAAATTTGAAAGTGGTTTGGTGTTGTTTCTGTAATAGAAGGCGGGATAGGTTTTTCATAAATTAAGAAAAAACTGCTGAATCATATTATTAATCTTTAACTTAAAACATATGCATGTCTTCAATAAAATAAAAACAAAGAATAGTGCTAAACTATGTGCAAGCCAGACTTATGTATTAACATTGAGACAGATTTTTGTGTGTGATTGGAACTGTAAAATGAAAGGCGGTGTTTCTCTTATAGTCTTCCACCTATTACCCAAGAAGAGGCTTTACATATTTTGGGCTTTCAACCCCCATTTGAAGATATCAGGTTTGGCCCTTTCACCGGAAACACAACACTCATGAGGTACGAAGCACTACTTCGAAGCAATCCGTTGTTTCTAGTTCTGCAATATACTGATACTGTAGGTGTGTGTTAAACCATGTACTTTGATGCTAGTCTCTGACCGGTCATAGATATGTTGAGCTTGGGTTTGGCTTGAATTTCTCTAGAATTCAAACAACGGCCTTCCTTGTTAAAGAATTGGTGCTATAAGCAAATTTTCTTGTTATTTTCAGATGGTTTAGACAAATTAATGACCACTTCCATGTAAAAGGATGCTCCTATGTTCTATATAAGCCTCATGGGAAGAACAAAACAGCTGGAGAAACGGGTAGGTGAACATATACAAGATTTATGCACATATGTGTGTGTACACACACATACCTGCTTAAGCATCCAATTCAAAGATTGGCTATTTGATTCATGGGACATTATGTAAATCCTCAACACAACCTGTCACTTTCATATCTGTTTATCCAAATGGAAAATCATGATAGTAATCTGTAGGGGACTCTTCAATATTCAGTTGAATGTTTACCTTTTCTGATATTTGCATGTAGAACTTTTAGAACTTTAAGATCTACCATAAACATGACTGTGACACACTGTTTGTATTGTCTGGGTCTAGGCTATGTGCATGTGTGCTAGTGAAATACCTTTGGGAATAAGCATAGAATTGCAGTTCCTTTTCTTATAAGGGAATGAAAGGATTTAAGAATATCTGATGCCAGACCTGCATGATAACAACAGGACAACAGACTGTGAAAGTGACAAAGCTCTATTATAAAACTGTCTTGATTACAACAGAGAAAAAAGTGGACTTGATTTTAAAGATTAGTTAGCCACTAATTAAGTTATTTGTATTATTGAACAATGTCCATTTGAAAACTATACATTAATCTTTTTGACTTTACAAATCTGATAAATGTAATTTCATGTTAAAGAAAAATGACTCTGACAGTTGTGAAATGGAAGGAAGACAACTATTACACTAGGGAAGAGAGATTGGACTCAACTCCAAAGACAACAAAGACAGCTGGGAACTCACAGTCAAGGAGCAGAGTCAAGGGTCAGTTACTAAGAGGAGACTTCAAGGTTAGGAGGATTCTTATCAAAACAGCATATCAGTCTCCCTGCTTAATGTAGACCAAGGGCTTAGACATCAAGGATGGGGTGATAAGGAACTTGATCAACTACCAAGAGTGGAAGATTCTATTTAAGCTGCCTTAACAAGATTCTTGCAAAAACTGGACACAAACCCCAAGGTTGAGACTGGTTGAGAAGAGGGCTCAAGGATTGGTCTAGGAGAGAGCTGTTATCAATAGAGGTGTATGGTTTACCAAGGTCAGAGATTTGAACATTGAGTAAGGTGCATTTCTGTTGACCTCTGTTGGGTTTATCAAGTTGGTTATGAAGTGGGCAACTTGGAGAGTATGTGTTGGTTTCTATGCATGCTCGTTTGTGACCTTGAAAAAAGTAACTTACTGTGTCCTTGTGTAAACCCTTTGTCTTTTGGTATTAGTACTCACTCTATTGGGCATGGTGAAGATAAAAGGAGACCTATTTGTGACTCACTGAGCTCCTTGTATTGTGTGGAGTGAGGACTCCACAAGCACTAGCTTCTATTATGACTGAGTTCTGTGCATTCACCTGGGGCTTGTCTGTCCCTGTGGAAAAGACAGCTTGAACTGTTGTGTCAATTTTTTTTTTTTTTTAATTTCTAGGCGGACTGTTAACACATCCTTCTCAGTAATGAATCAGGCAATTAAAAAGTTTAAAAGGATATATTTTCCAGGTTGTTCATTTTTCTGGTTTGCTTTTGATACTGTCCATTGAGTTTGAGTGTTTTAATTTTTTTTTCTATCACAGTTTTCATTCGAAAGCCCCTGATTCATTGAGCTTCCTGGCTATTCAAAATAGGCTGCAGGCTGCAGTCTTGGTTTGGCCTGTGGGCGGGAGCTTTCCAATCCTGACCTTAGCTGATGATGCCTATATACCGCCACCTGACACTTGAGGGACTGGCAGTCTCTTTGCCGGGCTTTGCTGGGCTTCTCTCTCTTATCCTCTTCTTCACAAAGTACAGATCATGGTTAGCTCTTTGCACCCTGCTTATGGAAAGGCCTGTTGTGGAGCACATGGAATGCAGTGTTTTCTTACTTTGACAGATTGCTATTTAGCTGCTCATCCTGGACTCAAGTTCGAGAAGGACTGTTTCTTCTGCTTGCCACACAAGATCAAATCCCTCCATCCCCCAGAATATCACATTTTGTGTGTGCCTCTGATAGAACTTTTGTTCCATGCCTAGGTTGTTCTTAAAAAATAGTTTCTTCCAGGGCTGGAGATGTAGCTCAAGCAGTAGCACGCTTGCCTGGCATGTGCGGGGCGCTGGGTTCGATCCTCAGCACCACATAAATATAAAAAATAAAGGTATTGTGTCCACCGAAAACTAACTAACTAAATAAATAAATATAAAAAAAATAGTTTCTTCCAAAAAAGCCTGAGCTTCCTTGAGGCCAAAATCTTATCATTTATGCATTACCATCCTGATACTTTGGTGCTCATAAGCAGTAAATTTAATAAATCCTAGGATGAGGCAGTGAGGCAGGAGGAACTCAGGAGATGGGGCCAGGAAGCTTCTAGAAGAGAGTTTTGCTTTTTCTTCATCTAAAAATCTGGCCTTCTTCCTTTGGAAGTGCTCTTTGTCCTGACATAGGAAGGAGACACTTAGCTTCCTCTTTCTTCAGCAACCCTTCTTCTGGCTCTAGCCTGCTCTCCCTCCCCTCCCTCCCCAACACCTCAGCATCTGCACTCAAGTGCTAGCCCTGCCCATCTGGTATCCTTCTGCTGTCTCTTTGAATCTTCCTTGGAAGTTTTTCAGACAGCTAGTTGTTATCTTTTCCTAAAGCCTGAAATTTACATTTAGCAGTGCCCTGGACATTGCCTTCTGTGTAATAAGTGTTCAGAAAAAGGTTAAAACCTCTCAAAAATCACTTCTACACTGTTTCATGGGACTCTATGTATCTTTCTTAATGGAGCATGGATCAAAAGGTAGGAGTAGAAATAATCAGTGAGGGGCATTCACACATATGTGTAGGATACAAGGAAAGTCATGCTGTACACTTCCTGGGCTGTGTCCCAAGGCTGTGGTCTGAGTAGGATCCTGGGAGACCACTGGATAAGGACCCTTACTCCTTTCATGTGCTTGCCTTTTGGGCTGCTGATCATAAGAGGATTTCATCAGAGCTTTTCACAGCTTTTGGCAGCATCAAGATGGAGTGGGAGAATGAATGAAAAGATGGGTCAGTGAAATTAAGGAGAATCAAGGGAATCATGAACACTCAGAAAAACTAGAATATGAAAGAACATAGGATAGCAAAGAAACTCTGGGTATGGAGGAAACATGAGTCATATTAAATTTAATCAAATTCTCAAAGGAAGAAAATATAAACCTTAATTAATAACATACTAAAAGGGCCCTGGATAAAGTTGATTCCCCAAGGAACTGCTATTCTGGTATTTTATAAGAGTTTTGACCAAATGTTCTGGACAACTTTAAGATTTTATACCAATTTTATTAGAAATTCTCACTTACAAGTATTTTGAAGTTGTATGCTTTTAGAAATTTTCCAGTAGTCTGGTACCTCCCAAGTTCTTCATGACAAATTTAAGTGTAATGATTTGATGGACATGCTGTCCAGTTATCTTAACAATCTCGAATGTGCAGGATTTGTGGTACGGGGTTGCACTGATTTTTTTTGACTTGTGTGTTTAAACTTCCTCCAACATACATCTAGTCTCTTTTCATTTGAGGAATGGGATAAACTACCCAATTTCCTTTTTTTATTTTATTTTTTTATTTTTGGGCAGGGAGGTGAGGGATCAGTGGTGGTTTCTGCAAATTTCTTTAAGTTTTAGTAAAATATTTTCCCACTTTTATTCCTATTTTCCTTTTCATTTTAGAACACTTGAATCGTTCCTGTTACCTTTTCTATGTGAATTTCCTGAAGGTTAATTAATCTGCTTACTGCCTGGCTCCTTGTCCATAGGGATGGTCCTGTATAGCCCTCTGATTCCATATGTGATGCTCATGACCTTGAGCATGTTCCCTACAGCTTCTGATTGTATTCAGGGAGGAATGAGGCTCCGTAGTACGAGCATTTTTTCTGATTTCTCTCACTGTAGAATAAAGAATTACAGAGATAGGCTTTTCTTGATTGTGTCTTAAATATTCAGTAGTGAAAACCTTTGTCAGTTGGTGCTACTTGCTTTTAAAATATAACCTGAAATGTTTCTTCTTTTTATGTTTAAATTATTTTTTATGGATGTTTTTCACCCTGGGCTTGAGTTTTCCTGGGACTCTGCTTCTTTGACAATAATTCCCTTGTGCTTGAGCACATGTTCATTTCCAGTGGGCCCTCAGTAAACTGAACTTACTCATGGAATAAAAGTGAAGTGTAGAGATTTTGATAAAATTTAACTGTTAATGTGAGTTGAAGTATTTTTTTCAGAGGTGTAATTAGTCTCAGTATTAGCCATCCATTCAGATAGCTTGGCTTAACCACAATAATTATACCAGGGAAGTCCAAATTCATTTTTTTTTATCAGCTGGCTTGGGAATTTGACTTTTGTTCAGATGTCTACTTTTTGTTTTTCCAGTGGGTATTGCAGTTCATGACTTTGCCTAACAGAGAATACCAACCTCTTCCTCATCATGACATAACCCACACATATCCTACCCATGGCTGGAACTCCAGTTCGCTGAGCATCCCTGCATACCCCAAGGGGAAAGTGCATTAATATCCATTTTCCTTGTCCACTGTTTTTCTCCAATTCATAATAAACACAATTCCAGGTAAATCTCTTCACCGTGCAGTGCTAACTTCTCTTTCCTCCCTAGCAGCTCTTGGGTGCCTGCCTGTGGCACAAACCCCCAGTATCTTTCCAAATTGATGCAGATTGTCCTTCCACTGCTGTCCCATGTGTACCTGTGGTATTCAGAGCTGTCAAGAGGGTGAGGCCCTTGCAGGATGATGGGATGCTGCTGAATGACTGATCACAGTTCCAGAATCTCTTACCTTTTAAGTCGTAAAAATACATTCTATTAGATTCTTTTAGAGTTTGCTGGAGTCTTCTATAGCTGATCAGTCTCTCTTATGACAAGCTCATATTAAACAAATCTTAAAAATGTCAGATGTTAATGCACTAAGGTGAGACTCATTCTACCTCCTGGGCCTGAGTTCTCTTGTTGGCAGCTCAACACTGGCTTCTCTTGATGGTACAGCAAACCTGCTAATTCCTATAGTTTTAATCTCTTCTCTCTCCTCTGTAAGTTCATGACTCTGTTTAGTGGTGGTTGCGCTGTCACTTAAGTTCCAGATTTTTTAGATAATATACAGGTCTAGACTGCACTTTGTTCTGGGTTTGGCTCCTGTCACTAACACATTCATGCCTTCTCATTCACAGAAGCACTCTCTTGGATGAAGACTGTAATGTATTAAATACTGTATTTACTGTCTTTTGTTTCAGAGGGTGATCTTTTTCTGGCTTTGTCCTGAAATTGTGGGGGTGTCCTACGGTAGGCTTCTTTCTACTATTGTACCTTCTGTTCTAAACCAGGAGACTTGCTGTTCCCTGACACATCCCTCCCACTCCTGTGGTTTTGTTTTCTCCTCACACCCTTTCCTCTATGTGGGTTGTTGAAATCCCGCCACCTCATTAAGTTCCATCTTGAATGCCACATCTTCTTGATTCCTCAAACCCAATGTGCACTTTCTCCTTTGAATTCTATATCTGTTTTGTAGTCCTGTCTTATAACCCCTTATATTAAAGTTACTTGTATCATCTTCCCTATCGTTTCTTCGTAGTATCTGGTATATTTACAAGGTGCTCATGAATTGAGTTAAATTAAAATTTCCTCTTAACTTTAGACCAGTGACTCTCAAACTATGATTTCTGGACCAACATCGGTATCACCTGCTAACTTGTTAGAAATGCAGATTTCTTGGTCTCCACCATGGACCTGCTGGCTCAGCTGCTCCAAGGGTGGCACCAGCAGTGTGTCCTTTGAAAAGCCCTTCATTCTCAGCTTTGAGAACCACTGACGTAGCCTTCCTAAGAGTTGGTATCCAGCCTCTTTATCAAGAACATGGCTTTCCATTTGTAGGAAATACCATCATTTCAAACTGTGTTTAGATGCATCCTGGGGATTCTGGACTGGTAGGGGAGAGGGTGGCACCTGCAGTCCTCCCAGTATTTTTTCCTTAGCAGCTCTGCTTTTATTCCTTTAATGGACTAGTCTGCCATGCAAATTTTCTTTGAAGAAGGGGCTGCATCTTAAGAAAAGTTTGAAAATTGCTGATCCAAATTTGTTGGCATGAGGTTGGCAAACTACTGCCCCTGCTCACAGGGCCTGATGTGTCAATAAAGTTTTATTGGAACGCAGCTTCATCCATTGGCTCACACATGCCCATGCTGCTCTCAGGCCACAGTGGCAGAGCTGAGTTGTGTGAGTAGTGCCTGTGACCTGTAGGCCTAAGGTGTTTACTAGGTGGCCCTAGAAGGAAAGGTTTGCTGATCTCTAACTTAAGCCACACAGAATAATGTCCATACCTCAAAGTAAGAAGAGAAATATCCCTGAGTGTCGTAAACTCACCAACATTCTAACATATTACATCATGTAGGTAGATATTCAACATATCATATATAATAATAAGCCCATAAACATCACTCCAGAGGAGAAAAACCACCTCCCATCTTCCAGAAAAGTAGGTCACATCAGCAAACAAAATGATGTGAGAATTAAGGGTAGCAGACTTTCTTACCTACCTCATTTGCTCATGACATCTTTTTTTTTTTTTTTTTTTTTTTTGCTCATGACATCTTGAATACATTTTAGGACATTAAAGTATTACTATTCACAATCACTAAACTTTTGTATTACATTTGAATTAAGAAAGAAGGAAAATATGAAATACATAAAGATTTCCACTGGGAAAAAATTATACTGAAAGTTCTTTTGAAAAACTTTTAAATTATTTTGGAAAACTTTTTATCAGTTTTGCAACCTTAAAAAGACTTAAAATGATTTTAGGAGTTTTTCTAAGTCAGTTGTGTATATAAATGTCTTATAATTATTGAGCTTATAAGATGGCTAAATCCACACATTTAGATTTATATACTATCCCAGAACCTATCTACAGTCAAGTTCAGTTTTGGAAATGAAATGTTGACTCTTTTCTGAACTTCAGTTCTTAAAATTCTTCATTTAGAGCTGTCCAGGTGTATCAGTCTTTAGATCATCAGTAAAACCCACAAAAAACTGACTATCATTTGTCATTATGAAATAGTGATTGTGGTAGAAAAGATCCCTTAGCTGTGCAGGGATGCCCTGGTGGTAGAAATCTATACAGAAGGTCCAGATGAAGCTTTGGGGACTGAGCATGTGGGTCGGTAGCAGGGCACTTGCAGAGCATGTGAAGCCCTGGGTTCAATCCCTAGAACTTCCAAAAAAAAAAAGGGAAGAAGAAGAAACAACTTTGGAGAAAGAATTTAAGCCAGAAACGTTATGTCTTCATGGGCAGAGGAGACACGTGGGAGATGTGGGAAGCGGACCTCTTGCTCCTTTCTCTAGTCATTGCCCTGCTGTTTTTAGTGGTCTTCAGCTATTTCAGGGCCCAGAAAATCGATCATTGTAACTGTAATTTGCAAGCTTTTATCTACTATTTTTAGGATTTCCAGTTTTAATGGGCTATTTGTTAATGAATAATTTAATTTCTTCCAGGAATGCAAGTTAATGAAGCCTCAGTAAATGGCTTTGGGTACTGAGTGCTGGTAAAAACTTGTTTCTTATGGTAATGCTTTAAAAATTGCTTGACAACTCTTATAGTTATGGGAAATAGAGGAGGAAGAATGGTTAGAAGAGGTTGTTGTCATGCTCCAGCCTGACTGAGGTTCTTACAAGAACAACTTTGTCTGTAACTTTTGAAGGAAGATGTGGAGAAAGAAAGTGTGTTATTGGGGGAAGTAGGCATTTTTGGAGCCTACTTATTACCTGGAATCTATCTTTATCTATATATATCTGTGGTCTTTAAACTGAGATGAACATACTACAGCCATATTAGAATATATATCTTTATTTTAATCTAAATTAAAGATTTAACTTTTGTCTCATTAGTATAGAAGTGTATGTATGCAGTGGATGAACAAATGTGATTAAACTGGGCATGGTAATTCAGAATTTTGAGTGATAGATGTGCACAACCAGAAAAGTTGAGATCATTGCTGTAGGCACAAGTTACTGGGTTTTATATAGGAATTAAATCTCATAGACAACTTTGTGTATTATTAGGTTTGGGTAAGCAAGGGCATATTCTTCTATTCAATGTGTCTGAATTTCACTCTTAAAAAGTGAAACTAAAAATAAATTCATTAATCTTTTGTACCTTTCAATATCTTCTCATTCCCCCCAGCAATGTCAGTGTGTTCCAAGCAATGTCTTTTCTGTCTTTTGGTCCTAACTAGTCCATTGTATAAAGCATGACCACTGCTTTATGGGCCCTCAGTGTGTTTGGTTCTGTTTTGGTAGCTTCAGGAGCCTTGTTGAAGTTAACGCGTGGATTGAAAGACGAGTCACTGGCTTATATCTATCATTGCCAAAATCATTATTTTTGTCCAATTGGCTTTGAAGCAACTCCTGTTAAAGCGAATAAGGCCTTCAGGTAAGCGTTTGTGTATTTTATCTGGGTACTTTGACAGGCAAATTGTGTTGTAAAAAGTGTTTTAAGGAATATTAAAAAATATTGTAAGTCTCCTAGAAGTTGAAAACTTAGACTGTTCTTTAAAGATTATATATAGCTTTTTTGCAGAATTGTGTTTAATCTTAGTTTAACACATATCCATTTTACTGTTGTATAGTCATCATAAGAGAAAGTCATTTGAAGACTCACTCTTATGTCTCTTATAAAATAGTTCCAAAGGACTTTCCGAACTGTATCTCTGTTTCCTCATCCAGTGTCCCACATGAACAATGTATTGAGAGGATTGCTACAGCTCAGTAAAGTGAAAAGCATCTTCCATCTTCGAGTGAAAACCATGGGATTTTATCTTCCCTTCTTCACCTGAAAAACATGCAGTGTATCAGGGTTCTCCCTTTGTCTTGGTTGCAGGGAAACTCAGAGCCCATTGTTATTTCTAATGTCAGGAACTATATTACCTTAATGGTTATATTTGCTTCTTTCTTTTATTAAAGAAAGACCATTCCAGACCTGTTTGAGTTAGAATTTCCAGGGATACGTCTAGGAAATCAGTGTAGTTAAAAGTTGCATTAGTGCATCTTTGTATAGGCTTGTAATTTTATTGCTCCTGTGGAAATTTCTTGGTTGCATTGTGAGAGGAGAGGAGAGATTGAAGAATGCTTGTAGCAGGCTAGGATTTTTTTTTTTTCCTTCTAGGATTTGAAGATGATATATAAAATCTTTGAGCCCTAGATTTTGAGTAGGGAATTAAGGTTTACATTTAATTTGTAGGTTGTCTTTAATGGCCTTCAGAAGTTTGCCCAAGCTTAAAACCTAATATCCATTTTAGATTAATGAACGCCATCTTTGAATGCATTTTAGCAGACCCTTTGATATGTAGTTGAGGCAGTGTACTTGAGGGGGTGAATGACATTTATTACGCTTACCACAAATGTATTTTATATTTAGCAGGGGTCCTCTCTCACCACAGGAAGTAGAATATTGGATCTTAATTGGAGAATCAAGTAGAAAACATCCTGCCATCCACTGTAAAAAGTATGTTGACTTTCCTGTTTTTTTCTTCTTTAATGGAGACAAGATTTAGATGTCATAAAAAGCATGGACCTCAATTGTATAAATTAGATGAGTTCTGATAAGTTTATCACCCCATGGAGACGTGGTCCATTTTCATTGTTATAGAAAGTACCCTCATTTTCTATTCTTGTCTGTTCCCACAGGCAACCTGAGTTGAGATCTCCTCATCATATTTTTTCTTGGCCTCTTCTTGAATTTCATATAAATGGAATGATACAAAATTCTTCTGTGTCTGCTTCTTCATTTAGGAAACATATCTAGAACCTATATTATTCTATAAAAATTTCAGAATTTGTTGATTCCTACTTAAAAACTTGTTGAGATTTTGATTAGGATAAAATCCATAGAATTCATAGTTTCGTTTGAGGAGAACTGACATCTTAACAATATGAAATCTTCCAATCTGTGAATGTGTAATATCTCTACTTAATTAAACTTTAATTTTTCTCGACAGTGTTGTGTATTTTTTAATAGTCATATGTATCATTTGTTAAATTGCTTCCCAAGTGTTCCATATTTTTTGATGCTATTGTAAATTAACTTTTTAAAAATCAATTGTGTCATCATTTGCTGGTCCTATACAAATAAATAACTGATTTTCCTATGTAGACCTTGAATCTTATATATTTAACAAGTTCACTTATTAACTTTAGGAATTGTTCTGTAAGGCTCTTGGATTTTCTGCACAATCGTGTTGTTTATTAATGGAGAAATGTTATCTTTTAATTCTTTTAAAAATTTAGCCAGGCATATGGCCTGTGCCTTGAGGCCAGACTGGGCAACATGGCAAGGCTCCATTTCAAAAAAAGTTGATTATAATTCCAAAGAAATAAGACATGTTCCTGCCTTCGCCTGAAGATTGTTATCTAATATGCTGACATATATTTGTTTTGTAGGAAAAGTAACTTGTTGTAAACTATGATCCTTGACAATAAATACTTGGATAAACACAATTGTCATAAAACAGGAAGTTTTTAAAGCTTAGTATATGGAACAATGCTGACAAGAATTATCGCCAATTATTGTTTTGTTAATATTGTAGTTACTTGGTCTTGTGAAAGAGTATTATGGACCTAAAGAAAGCTGTGTTGTATTCTTTCTTTTTAACTATAGATGGGCAGATATTGTTACTGATCTAAACACTCAAAATCCAGAATACCTAGATATTCGGCATTTAGAGAGAGGGCTGCAGTTTCGAAAAACAAAGAAGGTAAGAAAAACACTGTTGCATTTGAAGGCATTTTTCCAAATAACCAAAATGCAGTGTTTTAACTCAGCATTCTTTAGGTGGTAAATAATAGAAAGTTAGTTCAGACCATATTGGACAGAAAATTATCTTAAAGACCTAGGGCTGTGTTTACAACTCAAGGACAAGGAAAAGAGCCTGGAGTCACCAGGGAATGGCACCCAGTATAGGAATGATAGCAGGACCCACGTAGCTAGTAATCACTCTTATGGAGGTCATAGTTTTCTTAGCTCTCTTTTCCTCTGATTATTTCTTGAAGATCATCATCTTTCAATTCATGTCTCCCTTTCAGATGACCAGTCTAGACTGAGACTGTCCTGCCTTGGTCTAGTTCCATCATCTTGGCTGAACTAGGACCAAATTAATTATGATCGTGGGTCAGAGCCATGTGTTCAACAAGGCTGAGAGGGAAGCTCTCAGAGAAAAGTAGATTGCAGTGTGGATTGCGTAAACATCCCTGATATAATCCTATAATGTAAGAGCACATGAAGAGTGGGAGAGGAAGAGGGATGATCTTGGTGTTTGAATTAGGCAGAAGAGGCAGCGACAGTGTGTGTAGAGGGGCACCTGGGGTGGGAGAGGTGTTTTGGCTCCTGTGGGCTTTGTTTTGTAAAGACAGTGTCAGGAATGATGCATAGGATAGTGTGCTCTGGTGTCTGACCAGAGAAGTACTGTTTTTAGGAACGTGTAAGGGCAAAACAACAACAAACAAAAAAGGGGGTCCATCGGGACGCACACATTTATATAATTTACTTTTCTATATTTTCTTGACCTGCCTTTTTTCTCTTTTCAGGTTGGGGGGAATTTGCACTGCCTCATAGCATTCCAGAGACTTCATTGGCAAAGATTTGGGCTTTGGAACTTTCCATTTGGAACCATCAGACAAGACTCACAACCTCCAGCACATGCCCAGGGCATCGCCAAATCTGAGAGTGAAGACAATATCTCCAAGAAGCAGCATGGGCGTCTGGGCCGGTCCTTCAGTGCTAGTTTCCATCAGGACTCATCATGGAAAAAGATGTCCAGCATCCATGAGAGAAGGAACAGTGGCTACCAGGGCTACAGCGACTATGATGGGGATGAGTGACCCTGCTGGGCTCTCCGCATGGTGTCATCCACATAGCTTACCTACAGGACTGCAATACGATAGTGGAAGGTTGAAACGTCTACATTAATAGAACAGATCTCGTGGTACAAAGCATAACCTTATAGTTCTTAATAAATAAGCTTATATATGATTATCATGGGCGATTTCAGATGTATAAGCAGATAAGCACAGATTATTGCCCTTTTAAAATTAAGAGTATGTAAACAATCTAGACAAAAAGTTTCATAAAATCCCCAAATTTACAACTATTTCTAAACAGAAACACAAATTCACTTAACAGCATCAAGATTTGAAATACTTAAGCATGAAGTGATTTATGACTCGATCCCTAGCTAATTTGTTACAGATAGTTTTATTCCTAAGATGAAGATGTAAAGCATTTGTCTACCCTTAAAAAATGGGGGCTGCCAATTTCTAGGTTTTGCTCATGGTTAAAGCTCATTTAAAATTATTTTGAGTCTAGTACTTCTTTCACTAATAGCAGTATTTTGCTTGCCTCATTTGTCTCCTGATTAACTGTCTCAGGATTCTCAATAAAGAGGCAAAAGAGGAAAGACTCAAAAAACCTGGTCTTTTCTATTGGTGTAAAGGGTGACTTAGTGCATTGATTCCTTCATGACTTTCCTGACTGTTAGTATCAAATATTGACAAGAACCTTAGGTTTTGAAGACTTCTGTAAGTCTAGAATAAACCTGGCTTAGTGATAGAATAGAAGAACAGTGGCATCTGAAGTTTCTGTACCCAAGCTACCTTGCAGGGAGATTTTCTGATACTTGACTGATCCCTGGAATGGCATCGTATGTTAATAATGGCTTTGAAGATGCATCAAGAATGCCCAGGTCACTCAGAGGGCACTCTCCACATTCTAAACTCTGAGCTGTTTCTTTTTTTGATCCAATTGTCTTTTTGAAGTGAGTTAAATATTTTGGAAGTGTGGATTTCATGTATTTGAGCTCCTCTCTAGCTGCTGTCAGTTCTTCTTCTGCTGCCAACCTGTGACTCACAAACAACTAGGATCTCTTGTTCTTTCATTTTAGGGGTTTGTTCCAGGACTTACAACAGTAGCTTGGTGATTACAAGGTGCTGGATATGTTGGTAACCACATTGCAATACACCTCAAGGAGAGGGTTCAGACTTTTATTTTTAAAATAGTTTCATTTTTTTTCTCTTGAATTTTATATCCATTTGTCCACATACACATGTCTAGCCTACAGAAAGGGATATATATTATGAAATGGTCATTTTTCTGAAGAGAATATTTTGCTTGAAATGCAAAGGACTGAAAGATTTGTAGGTTGTTGATTTTGTTACTTCATACTGGAACTTTTAAAAGGTTTTCATCAAATAAAATTTTGTTTTCTACTTTTAATCATGTGTTATCAAACTTTTGTTTTAGATAAAAGGGTATTCTTTTATGTACATGATAATTTGTCTGTTCTGCCTAACTAGTGTGTTATAGGAAACCATCCTGAATCTTATTACTTTTGTAATCAATGAAATAATATGCATTATGACTATAATTTTAGATGTCTATACGACTTTATAATAGAAAAGTGGAAAATGTGATTCTTATATTACTTGAACCAAATGAAAGTATAATTTTTCAAACATGGTTAAATATAGGCTCTTTCATATAGTTCAACTGAATATTTTAGAGAAGAGGTAGGTTGAAAGAGCAAAGAGGAGAAGAAAGGAGAAAAATGGAAAGTAAAAGAAGATATTAAAGAACAAGGTGATGCCTAGGAAATTAGAGTTTATGCAGTCTGCATACTAATCAATAATTTTTATAATAGTCTTGATACATGTGATCACTTAATAACTTGGTTTACAAGTCTGGCAGTTATTTGGAGCACAGTGAGGTTTAGGTATTGTGGCACAGTTTTACCAAAGATTGTTAGCAATGGGAGATCTATTGTATACTTCTCTTTGAAAACTAGTAACATTCCTACTCTATTTTATTTCTTGGTCAACTCATATGAGTCTCCATAGATGCAATGAAGGTTTAAATACTGGTTTTGCACTTACCAGATATATTGCCTTGGGGCACATTAAGATTAATTTTTTTTGTGCTTATTTCTTCATTGGTAAATGTAACAATGGTTTGGAAGAATGAATAACCTGATACGTGTCATGTTTAAAACAGTGCCTTATGGATAGAAAATACTATTTAAGTCCTTACTATTATTATTCTAAAATATGTCTGTTTTACTGTTTTCATTCTTAATAGAGAGCCTTTTCAACAGCATCTGAAAGAACTAATTCTTTGTTAATCCAATATATGCCCCTTAGTTGCTATTCCTTCAAAGGCATTTCACACTCAAGAGCATTGCTTTGATGTTAAAAGCACTTATATCACTCAAATGGCCACACTGGCTAATTGTTTTTATTTAGCTCTTAGCCAGAAACAAAGCTGATTTAGATCAAATCCTGTAACTATTCCTTTTCAGACTGCTATTGTTACAGAGCTACATCCTATCAGTAGGCCAAGCTGATGCAGCAGCTACAATTCTTCCCAACTTTCCTTCTCTCAGATGCTGCAGGAGCTCAATCAGGTGCTCCAGGATCTGTCACGTTCTTCAATTTAACTTCACATGCAGCATTTTCACCCTGCCAGTCATTCACTCAAAAACTAGTTTGAGTGCCATTACCTCCTAGGCGTTTCACTTTAGAACTGTGATCTTAAATCTATCCTAAAAAAGTTATAGCACTCCCATTTTGCTGGCAGGAACTGAGGCTGTCATGAGTGAAGAAACCTGTCTAGCACAACAGAGTGTCTTGGTATGCTACAGCTACCATAGAAAAATACCTCAGATTGTGTGGTTTAAAAAATAGAAACTTGTTTTCTCACAGTTGTGGAGTCTAGAAGTCCAAGACAAGTTCTTTGTAGGTTTGGTGTCTTTTCAAGCCTTTCTTCAACTTCTAGACCACCACCTTCTTACTGTGTTCATTGGCTTTTCGTATTTGTGTGTGTGTGTGTGTGTGTGTGTGTGTGTGTGTGTCGGGCAGGGGTATCCCTCTAGAGTCTGTGGGTCCAAATTTCTTCTTATAAAGATAACATCAAATTTGATAAGGGGTTAACATAATGGCTTCATTCCCCTCTTATTTTTCAGTGGTGCTGGTGATCAAACTTAGAGCCTTGTACTTGCTAAGCAAGTGCTCTACCACTGAGTGATCCACCAAGTCCCTAATACCCTCATTTTGACAATCACCCTTTAAAGATCTGATCTTGAAATAGAGCCACATTCTGATGTACTGGAGGTTAGGGCTTCATCATATGCATTTTGTAGGACAATTCAGCCCATATCACAGTTTTTACATGGCTTAGATGAGATCTGAACTAACATTTGCCTGACCTCTAGGAAATATTTTTCTACAGGGTGCAAGGATGGAGAGTTTTAGACCAGGGACTTGAGAGGTCATTTAGGCAGCATTTATGAATGCCTACTATGAGTAGAAGTGGGGGATGAAAGTCAACATGATAGTTCTTGGTTTCATTAAGTTTATAGTCTTCTGTGGTTTGGGGGCAAAAATTAAATATGTAATTAAATATGTAATTATACTACCCTCAGTAAAACACAACTCTGAACAATTTCTGGGTACTACTTTACCACGGAGGAAATGTGAAAAGCATTTTGTAAGGCTTATTCCTGATGGAAAATTGTAAGTCAACTTAACATGGCTACTATGAACTAAGTTTGAACACAAATGGTTTTGCTAAAAACTGGTTTCTGATATTTTTAAGAAATTACCTGCTCTTTTAAACCAACTTTTTTCACTGGATTGGAATCTCTTCTCAATACATCACTTAAATTTGAACAAATGTGTAAGTTAATACTTTCACTTGATAGCTAGTGCTAAAAGCATTGCACACATCACCTTTTAACCTCGCCAAGTCTGCAAGGTTGCTTCTGTTATCGGTGACGAATCCTTGCTTCCCCAGTGCTGAAGTATTAACACCAGAGGAGCACGCCAAGGCAAGTTTAGAGTGTAATGTAAAAGCTTTATTAAAGGACAGCAGAAAAGACTTCGTCCCGTAGGAAAAAGGGGACCCAAGAGGTGAAATCTGTGGAAGGGCGATGTCTTCCCCTTTTTATAGCTAAGGTCTTTTTTCAGTTTTCCGAGGGGGGTGGGGGAGACAGGAGGGCTGAAAGAGTAATATTGGCAGGAAGGACTTTTGGATTAGCATCTCCGTGTTTGCTGGGAGCTGCTTCATTAACATTTCCTTGGGATGAGCTCTGGGCCTTGGGGACATTCTCAATACCCCTTTTCCTGGACTCTATTCTCAGTATGGCCTCCATTCTCCATATTAGACCTAACTACACTAACTACCTATCTGTAAATCTAGCTTCACTTCTATGTGTACATCTGAAGATAAAAATTCTTAACAAATACGATCTCAGCAACTTATTAATGAGGTACAGTCGTGATTTGAATGTTGGCCTGAGGGCTGGAGCGCCAGACTTTCCTGGAGCTACTCGGCCAATTCATTTCTTGCCATTTCTGTCCACAAACAGTGGAATTCTAAGTTTGAGACGCTGGGTGAAGCTTTGAACTCTACTACTTCTATCTAGTTACTACACGCTACTGTACAAATCCTGCCTAAAACCACCACAACCACATGGATTCCGCACAACTGGAGACTCACTGGGGGAGAAACGGGTGCTGAAAAAATCACATAAAGTCGCCATCCGCAAAAACAGTCTTGTGGCCACATTTGATCACCGTGGCACCGAAGAGAGCACCTAGACCTTTGGGTCTACAAACACTGGGGCGGAAACGCTCCCTCGCTTCCGGAGTGCAGTGGACGCAGTGAATTGACGTCATGGACGAGGGCGGGACTTCCGCCCCACGCATTCTGTGAGAAGGAAGCTGAGAAGGCACCATTTCTTGTGAAATTACAGACCCACCCAAGGAAAGCTAGCAGAATCCGAGTAATGCCTTCTGTCGTTTGTCACGTCCTCTCTGGTCGCCTACCCCGGTCTTCCATCGGAATGCAAACATTTGGGATAAAGCCCTGACAAGTCGAGGCCCTGCTCTACGCCAACGCGAACCGTTCCCCGTCCGCTCTCTTCCTGGAGGAGGTGTCAGCCGCCAGGAAGTGTTCTGGCGTGGATTCCCCTTCCTGGTGCGCTCTCGGGCCAGTTCCCCGGGAAACGTGGGCTTTCTATTGTTTTCCGCTCCTGGGTTCCGGGAGGTGGCGTCACCTGACTTTGTAGAAGAGCTGGAGTAAAAGGCCGATCCCGGACGCGCCTGCCCCATGGGAGTCCAGGGGCTCTGGAAGCTGCTGGAGTGCTCGGGGCGGCAGGTCAGCCCCGAGGCCCTGGAGGGGAAGGTCCTCGCTGTGGGTATCCTTCGCTCTCGGTGGCTCATCTGCCAAGTGCAGGTGAACTTGGCGAAGTTTCTGCAGAACTAAAGTGGTGTCGTGGGTGGGAGGTCAGCATGGAGCATCCCACCCCTTCGTGTCCTCTCCTCTTCTGAGTCTAGTTCCGTTCGTGTTACTTAAGGAGGGGGCTTGTGCGACCAGGTTGTCTGGCCCTTTTCTTTTGAATCGGCAACTCTTTAAATCATGGTTTTTGGAAGCAGGAATTCCTGTTACGACATTGGGAAAGTTTTCGAAAGTACGCAGTGAATACTTTTCCTCCCACTCCCTGTGACTGACTTGTTAAGGATAGTGGCTTGTGTGCATATTTGGCTGATTTCGTGTCTTTGGAATTTTTAATTTTTTTTTCATTATGAAAACGTGATGCTTGTATTGGACACTTGTATTCGCTAAGTAGTGTTGCCTTGATCCAGTACCTGTTCCCTCCCCGAAGCCGCGGAGACCTCATACCAGTGTCCTCATGGAGGACCGGGAAGAAGCCATTGTATGAAGAAGAACACTGATGATTTTAAGAACATAATGAGATAATTACCACGTTTTCCCTAGTGGACAATATTCAAATACATCCGCATTGAATGCTCAGCTTAAAAGCTTTTGTTCAGGGTACCTTGAGTTGGGGAAAAGGAAGTTTTTTAGTTTTTTTGTTTTAAAGCACCCGCGCTCTGTTGCCCCCCAGTGGTTTCTCGGTCTAATTGCATTCTGAAGATGGCCTATCAGTGGATGAAAAGATGGTTTTTACTGTCAGGAACCCTTAAAACGTCAGCAAAGATTTAGGTCATTTTATGGTTAAATCCTTTTAAAAGATTAAGATTTTCTAGAACTACTGATATGAAACACCAAGGTCACATTTCTAATTTTGTAGGACGTCAAAGGAAGGAAAGGTAAACCATGTAATTTAGATTATATGTTTGCAGATGGCTCGAAGAGGCCCCTTTGGAATATGAAGTCATTTTTATTTTAGGCTCTTTTAAAGAACTAATCATTTAGCTAAAGAGGACTGTCAGCCTAGTTACAATGATAACCTCATATACAGTACTTGATAGCTTGTATAATTGATTTTTCTTTATCTTCAGAATAATTCAGACATCTGAAATATATATTTTATTTATTTTTTGTTAATAAAGAACTTATTCACAATTATACCAGGTTCATAGTTTGTTCTTGGGTCTCTAAATAAAGTGGTTTTGAACCATCTGAATAGTTGAATGTCTGGTTTATTTATGTGATTTAAATGGCTGTTAAGTAATATACAATCAGCAGTTTAATTTTTTTTTCTTTTTTATTATGGACCTTAACATTTGTAAAGTGCATGTAAGTGTATTATGAAGTTACTACACTCTATGCTATGCATACTAACGGGGATTACTTCAAAATTAACTCAACTCTATAAGTAAGGACATTTTTAAAATTGTTGTTCTTTTTAAATGTTATTGGTTCTTTGGGTTTTTAACATGAAATGATTTTTGGATTTGCTATAGATTTTAACTTTTCTACCCCTTAGAGAAGTTTAATTTTGCCTGACATAGCTTTCTGAAATTAGACAAGTCAAGCTATGCAAATATTTTCAGCTTGTCTGAGTCTATGTATTTCTTCTCTAAGAATTTCCAGCTGAAGCTCTTAACACTGGCTGAGGATTGACACTATCCTTGATAAATTTAAAAGTACGAAAAAACCCCATCTAGTCTCTATGATTCAGTATTTTAGGCATATGGAGTTTAGTAATCTATATTTCAAAAGCTTCATATCCTGTTTTAAGAGCATGAATGAGAGTTAATAATCTGAAATTAGATTTTGTCTGATCATAAAGTTGAGAATAAACTTACTATGCAGACAGGTAATTGCGTACAACAGTGTAGCAAGCAGACATAGTTATTCAGCACAGTGTGGCTCTAAGACATCACTGAGTCCTGCCTCCAAGATGGGTCTAGGCCTGACCACTTCTCATGGTCTCTGCCACAGCTGCCTGCTGTCCGGATGAGCTGTTACAGCTAATTTAACTGGTTTCCCTGTAGTTCATTCTTCTCATGTTCCCCAGCGAGATCCTCGGGGTTCTGAAAGTCATCCAGTGGCTGTTTGTGATGCTTGCACATCAGTCCCACCATCCCTTCTGCCGTGTGGGCCTTGAGTATTTAAGTGGCTTTGGTCCTAGGGCATTGTGTTTGGCCTGTTCTCTCCTCCATTCAGGTCTCTGTGTCTTCTTCAGAAGCCCTCTGTAATCCTAACCCTTAGCCCTGGTCACTCGTGTCCATTTGTTCTGCTCTGTTTCTTCCTTGGTGCTCACCAACAACCCAAGTTGTTACATGTCCATTATTTATTTATTTGTCTGTGTCCCTTGTTTGGATTTAAGTTTCTCAGAGATGGGGACCACATCTGTTTTCTTCACAACTGTATCACTTGATGCATCTCCCTAGAGCCTTGTATATGCCCAGCCCACGGCAGCACTGATGTTACAGGAATAAATAAAACCATGGTGTGCTGGGCACTAGGTGTTTTGTTGCATAGCATTTAGTTAGGTAATTGTTGATGAGCCTAAGTTGTTTTTTTTTTTTTTAATGGTTGTAAAAATTAGGCCCTGTACATTCACTTAAATACTAACCTGCTCAGCTCATTTAATAGTAGATACTTATTTGCACTCTGATAGGCTGTGTGGAAGGGAGTGTAGTGCACAGAAGCGTGCTTTAGATGAGTGTGGCGCTCATAGGTTCTGCTTTCTTCCACTACATTGTAAACTCCATAAGGGCAGAAACTGTCCAGTGCTGCATAGAAGAATTTCTGCCACTTAATAATGCATTTTTAAATAGGGATGTGTAACAGGAGGTCTTAATCTAGGCTGGGGAGGGGACTCATAGACTGAGACCTCAGTAGATGGTAACAAAACAGAGGGGGAAACTCAGAGGAAGAGGAAAGAGTATGTGAGAAGGCCCCTGAGGTAGGAAGGAGCTTAGTGGCTTAAAATGTGATGGGAGAAATGAGCAGAGGCCAGATTCAGGCCTTTTGTAGGTCATGGGGAGAACTTTGGATCCTAAAGGTAATGGGGAGCCTCAGGGGGCTTTAATTGTTGCTGCTGAGATCCAAATGCACTTTGAAGGCGCACTAGAAGGTGGGATTGGTAGAATCTGCCAATGGTTGGAGGAGAGGAGTACTTGGGAGGACACCTGGAGTTCTCTCTGGTGAATAGGAGTGGCAGTCACCGAGGTAGGGGCCTCAGTGGCCTGGTGGACACATGGAATTCAGCTTGAAATGTCTGTGAGGCATCAGGTATGGGTGCCAACTAGGTGTCTGGTGTGTGGTTAGGAAAGCCAGATGCACGTGGGTAGGGTGTGATGTGGGGCCGAGGTGGCCCGCGGAGTGGTGCAGACAAGAGGGAAGAAGGCCTAGGAAAGGTCAAAGAAAGCTCCTCCATGGTGAGGTGGAGGAGCTGGCGAAGAGAAGGAGAGCAGGAAGTGCAGCAGGGTGCTGGGCCACTCTTATGGACAAGTACAAAGTGCATTTTCAAAGGTGCATTTGTTAGGGCTGGCGTTGTGGCTCAGTGGCAGAGCGCTCGCCTAACGTGTGAAGCCCTGGGTTTGATCCTTAGCATCACATATAAATAAATAAAATAAAATTGTGTCAATCTACAACTAAAAAAAAAATTTTTTTAAAGGCACATTTGTTGGAAAATTTAAATGAAATCTCCAAGAAGAAAACATAAATTACCTTTGGTTTTAGCCACAATAGCTGCTATTGAATATTTTGGTGAATGACTTTCTAGATTTTTACGTTTAACATTATAGGTATTGTAAATGGAATCAGAGTGCATATATTTTTGTTACCTGTACGTTTCCTGTAGTAGTATTTGTAACCATCTTTCTTGTCACTGAACATGCTTCTTCAGTTTCCATTTTTAAGAGCTCCTTGGTATTTTAGCAGATCCATATGTCACGATTTTAAAAAGAACTCTTTTTTTAAAAAAAAACTGTTGGAAAGCTTTTGAATTGCTCTTCTCATTTTCCTTGCTATATACAAGCATTCTTGTAAATGAATCTTGTTAAGCCATGATGCTTCTTGAGGATGAGTGCCTGGAAATGGAATTCTTTTTTTTTTTTTTTTAATTTGTTTTAAATTAGTTACACATGATAGTACAATGATCTTGACATATACAATTGAATCGGATATAATTTCTCTTTTTTAAGGACATGTCTGTCTTTGAATGGTATAAAAATTAAGTATGTGAATAGTAAAAGTTAAGTGTTCTTGTGAGATCCTGTCAGGGCCAGACGTTTTAAAATCTCAGATGAGTGGTGATCTTGGTGTTCAGTGCTTGGTATTACCAGGTATAGGAGGCTGAATTTGTGAGGATGAGGAGGACATTCCAGAACGCTTTTCTTTAACAGTCCTCTCAGATATCAGCATTTGGCTCAACCAGGCGCTTAAAGGAGCCCGGGATCGCCATGGGAACGCCATAGAGAATGCCCATCTTCTCACTTTGTTTCATCGGCTCTGCAAACTCTTATTTTTTCGAATTCGCCCTATTTTTGTGTTCGATGGGGATGCTCCACTGTTGAAGAAGCAGACTTTGGTAAGTATCTTCTAATTTTATTTTCTTTTTAGAATTTTAGATACCAAGACTTATTTTGACATATAACCAATTTAATTTCAACTACATTTTAAAATTCATCTTTAACAAACAAGCAAGTTTTTCTTTTTTAAAGAAGGTTTATTATAGTACATCATGGTAGGATGATAAAATTTAACTAGAACTACTAGAATTCTTGAACTTGAGAGTTTTCTCTTTAGAGTATCTGTTTCGGTATTCCACATTTATTCCCACTGTGCTACCATTGCTCAGAACCTTAAGGAAAACCTGTTTAAGATTTCCCTGAAAGTGAGATTGGTACCACGTCTTCTTTTAAAGGTGGGTCGGGTCTCAGGAGGCCGCAGTGTGGTGCAGTTGAAGGTGGTGATGAAGTGGATTATCCAGGGAGGAATTTGGGCCTGATATAAAAGATTGACAGTGATTTTCCTTATCGTTCTGAAAGTAGTTTTTAAAAATTTCAAGCAATCCAAATAATAATAATAATTTATATGACTTTTATATGTAGAAAATGCCAGCTCATCAGTTCATCAGTTTATAATCATGTCAAATTATTATCCAAGTGAGGAAATAGAGTAGAAGTGAGGATTCATAAATTCATAATGCTTGAGCACATTTGTTAACTCTGTATACATGTCTAGATCTGAATGTTTTAGTTTGCCATACTCTGTGTCAAGTCCTTTTTTGGAAAGATTAGAAAGGAAAAGAGGATAACTTTGTTTTTCCTGCCTATCTCAACCATAAGCACAGAGATTGTTTCATTTATCCCTAGTTAGATTTTCCTTTTAAGATGTTTCTGTACATTTTAGGATTTCATCTGACAGAATCTTGGATGTTGAGGGGCAGAGTTACATACAAGTAATGCAAAAAAGTAATATCGAAAATTGTTTCTGGCATAACAGCATTTTAAAGAATTAATGTTGTCGTTCATTTTGGGAAACATTGATTTGATTACATATCAAGTTTTAGGCTTCTTGGGCCATATTAAAAGACATTTAAAAGAGCCTGAAAGTAACAAATAATTCCCCCAATAAACTATATAAGTAATAGGTGGAAGCTCTGGGTGCCCTTCACGTAGCGGAAACCTGAGGGTGCTCACTGGAGGAGACACTGGAACAGCCGTCATTTCAAAACTCAGACAAGCCAAATTTTATGGGGAAAAAAACAATCCCAGAAATGTTCTTAATCGACTGATAACTCTGAATTCAAATCTTATGTCCTTGCTTTTCATAGGCAAAAAGAAGGCAGAGGAAGGATTTGGCCTCCAGTGACTCCAGAAAAACTACAGAGAAGCTTCTGAAAACGTTTTTGAAAAGACAGGCTATCAAAACTGCCTTCAGTAGCAAAAGGCAAGAGGGGAATTACAGTGATTTGGGAGATTAATTAAAAATGTTTCACTTTTGTATTGCATTCCTAGGGTTCTCATTCTCTAACTTTAATTCTCAACAGAAAATAGAGAGTGAAATGTGAGGGATAAGTAGACTGTCCTTGGTTCTGATAGTTTGAATTGGTGAACCTTCCCCTTCCAGGAGAATCAGCATTGCTAATGAGAAAGGCTGCCCCCCCCCCATCACCACCACCCATTTCATTCATTGATTTTGTGGTGCCAGGGTTGAGCTCCAGGCCCCTCATGTGCTGGGCAAGTGCTCTGTCACAGAGCTGCCCGCCCAGCCCCACTTTGTTCTTTATAAAGCTCCATCTTCTGACTGTGGGTGGGCTGTGGTCAAGGCTGAGGAGCCCCTGTGAGTCTCCTTCTTTCCTCTGGGCTGTATTTAGCTCCCACCGTGCTGGAGAGCCCCCCAGGAGGGGGAGAGCCACTGCCTTTGAGCAGGCTTGGTAGGCAGTGTGGGAAGATGACCAACTCAAAATACATTTTTATATGTTCTCTGTTTACAGAGTTTTGTTTGCTTTTCAGAAATGAAGCACTACCCAGTCTTACACAAGTTCGAAGAGAGGATGACATCTACGTTTTGCCACCTTTACAAGAGGAAGAAAAACATACGTAAGTATTTAATTATTTAAGAATATTACTTTAGTCATTGTGGTATTGAGATAGTTAAACTTTATGTTTTACCTACATGATAAGGCATGTGGGGATTTATTAGTGAACCTTCTCTATACCCTTCAGAATGTGTTCCAAAATCCAGGTTTGTCATTTTCTGACTTGTCTTTGTGCTTTGGAGATCTGTTGCTCTTTTGCATACTGAAGAGCCTTTGCTAGCACTGGATTTATAAGTTGGAAGACAAGCATTTTGGTTGTCTTACACTTTGCTTGGCGCGCTCTCGCCACCTGCTTCATCTCTCACCATGTGCTGAGACCCCACATGTCACACCCTTGCTGCTCAGTCCAGGGGGCACCGTGCACTGTGGTGTGCTCGCTTCTCAGCCCTGAGGTCAGATCACTTGTCCTGCTGACCTGTGTTCTGGGACTGTGCCTTTCAGTACTCTCTGTGAGCCCCTCTTCTTCTGGTAGCCTGTTCGCCTCCTGCAGCTTCTGTGTTTGGTGTGTAGATGGAGGACTAGTAGTCTTGTGGCTTATTTTCATCCTTAGCCCCCATTCCCAAGAGACAGGGCAGCAGGGGCTGAGCCCAGGTCATTTCCTTATTGAAAGCACTTCTGTCTATTTCTTGAGGATAAATGTCAACCCTTAATCACACTGCTCCAGCTTCATCTTCTGGTCACCACACTGGCCACAGGCAGGCTTTCTTTCCCTTGTTTTTAGATAGTTCTAAAGCTTAGTTCTTCCGTCTGGAAAACTTCCCTCCATGAATCTCTCTGTACCCCACAACTGGACACCACATTTACTAGTGGCTGAATCCAGCCAGTGTAATTTAGGAGACGTGGACAGTTTTCTTGGCTCTCCAAATGGGACTGAGATGACTCTCCTGGGTGCACCTTCAGCAGCCTGCCCTTCCCTCACGGCTCAGGCTTTGAGGTCATGTTGTGGTTGCCGACTTACCTGTGCTCCCCACCAGACAGTGCGGCCCCTGGTGCCCAGGTCTTGCTGGCTTATTTGCTGTTGTTGCCCCTAACACTAGCAGCATCTTGCACTCAGTAAATCTTTAGGCTTCAAAATGATCTTAGGTTTTGTAAATATGTTGTTTGACTTTCAGTTCAGAAGAAGAAGATGAAAAAGAGTGGCAAGAAAGAATGGATCAGAAACAAGCATTACAGGTATTTAAATAATTCTGAAATTCAGAATGTGTTTTGTTATTTGAAATGATCAACGTGAAAATACTATTGTTTAGTTATTGTATATTAATCAAAGTCCCTGATAAAAACTAAGTAAATACAGATTCCCTTTTTATTGTGTGTATTTATATGCATATATGTACATATCTGTGCATTTATGTGTGTGTATAAATAAAAACTCACCCATATACACATGTATGGAATTGCCATTATATATGTTTGTCCAAAATAGCCATTTTCTTTATAGCCAATCAAATGACCAGTCAATAAATAGTAATACGTGCCTGTGTAGAATATAGAAAGCATACCATCTGGACTAACTTGGAGTAACATTTTGGTATATTGTAGATCACATTCCCCAACCCATCTGGTTGAATACCTGTGTTTGTATTTGGGTGTGCGAGTATGCACCAAATGTACATGTGTATATGCACTTGTTTGTGTGCATGTCTGCCTACTTTCTAGTTATCTGTTATCATGTAACTTGGTATAGAAGTGAGCATTTTCACATTCTGTCTTGGTCTGGGTGTTGATCTGCTCATTTAGGACTGCTCTCTTGGAGCCCACCATGTAGGTAAAGGTCAGTCTACAGCCAGGGCTGGACTTGTATGTCCAGTTGTTGACGCTGGCTGTCAGATAGACCTCACTGAGGCTGGCCACCAGAATACCTGTGTGTGGCCTCCACATGGCCTGGGCTTTTTCCCAGCATGGCAGCTGTGTTCCAAGGGCAAGCATTCAAAAAAAAAAAAAGTTCCAGGCAGAAACTTCGCTGTCTTTCTAACCAAGCTTTGGAAGTTATATAGTATCTTTCTACCACTTTCTATTAGTTAGAAGTCAGTTCCTAGGACCAGTGCCTATTTAAGAAGAGAATTAGACAAGAATGTCAATGAATCTGGATGTGTTTTAACATTCTCACTGCACATATTTTAATGAATAATGTTTTTATAAATTCAAGTCATACTGTATATAAAAGTTTTTAAAATGAACATATTCTCAAGTTTCCTAGTAAAGCAGATAACATTCTTTGATAACCAAATTCATTTGAGTGTAACAGTGAATTGAACTAAGTGTATGAAATGTAAATTTCATTGTGTTATATTTTACTCTTTACAGGAAGAGTTCTTCCATAATCCTCACTCAATAGATATTGAGTCTGAGGACTTCACCAGCCTACCCCCGGAAGTAAAGCATGAAATCTTGACAGATATGAAAGAATTTACCAAGCGGAGAAGAACATTGTTTGAAGCAATGCCAGAGGTGACATAGACATTAGTATACAGTAGTATGTTAATACTTAGAATGAAAAACATCAGCAGAACTTCTTATTAGAAAGGAGAGAAATTTGATAAGCAGTACTGAAATTATATGTTAATTTCTGGTAATAGAGTTGAAAATGACAGGAAGGAAATGCAACAAGCTGTCGTGACATTGTCCCTGGGCAGTGGACAATTTTTTTTTCCTTTGTCATTTGAGCTTCTTCAAATATTCTGTAATTAACATATTAAGGCGAAATAATTACATTAAGTTTACAAGTCCATTCTAATGCTGGTTTGGAGTCTGATAGTAACATCTGTGTTATAAATTTTCCATCTTAAAGTAAATGTTACAATCCATTATAACTGTATGAACAGTTGTGACTCAATCCATAGTTTTAGCATAAAACAGAAGTATTTCTGTTGTTTAAGAACATGTATATTTAATGATGAAGGAAAGATTAGTAAATTCTCGCAGTTACCTTCTCTTTGTAAATTGCAACCAATAATCTTGTTTTATACTCTTAATGGGAAGTACATTCTCTAAGTATGTAACCCGAATATCTATCTGGCATAGAATGCAAAATTGGTGAGATTAAACTTTATCCCTGAGGGAAAAAAATGAATTCACCAAGCAAAGAACAACATTATTTGAAGTAATGCAGAGGTGAAATGGGCATTAGTTACAATTCCATAGTTCTTCTTTAGCCCACTGCAGGACAGAAGCAAAACTTGTGACATTATCCCTACTGAGGGACATAGTAATTTTTTTAAAAAAAGTTTTCTGAAGATTTTGAGTACTTCTTCAATTGACATGAGAAGTAGGAAAAGGGCAGGATATGTTTCTTTTCCTTTCACTTTCTTCTGTTTTCCCATGTGGGATGTGAAGATGGGAAAGTACTGAGATGCAAAGAAATGAGATGCTTGGGTCTTTGGGTGTACAGAAGTAAATTTATTTTTATTTCAGGGAAAAATATTTGGGCCCCTTGTGTGTATCAGGCATTTTATTTCACACAGGATCTCCATAGTACTTGAGGAAATAGGACACAGTTCTTCCTTACCTGCTCCTCATCTTCTCCTTCAGGGAAGCATCTCAAGTGCAGTACTGAAAGGTGGTGTGGAGTAGCAGCTTGTTGCATCTCTCATTTTGATGGAACAGAGTTGTTCTGAGTCTTCCGGGTTTTGTATCATCTGTATGTTGTGTAAAGGTGATGTTGATGCTAGTTGTGAGGGTGAGCAGTAGTACTAATAGTAATAGTAGTAGCTCAATTTTGGTAAATATGTCTGCTTTGGATCCCATATCTACCACTTATTAGCCATGTGCCTCTGGGCAAGTTACTTAACCTCATTTGCAGAAGGGAAATAATGTCTTATAGGGTGGTTGTGAGAATAAGTTGAGATGGTTTATATCAAAGTGTACAGAAGAATGCCCTTTACAGGAAAGCTTTGTAAATTTTACTATTACTCTTAATAACTGTGATTGCTGTGATTTATGGTGTATGTCTTCTATTGGCCAAGGACAGTGTTGGGCACCTGCATTCTAGATTATGTGTTAAGCCATGACCAAGATTGTTTTGTGTATACTCAATAAATAATTTTGATTAAATTGTGACAGTATCCATAATTTCTATATTTTTTGCTTAATTCTTTTGTTTTAAGGATTATTTTTTAAAGGCAGTTATAGTCTGTCCTAGTGTTCAGTTTTTATTTTTATGTTACAATATTGTAAAATAAACCAATGTATTTGTATAATATGAAACTACCACTAATTAAAATGGGCAATTATTCTTTGTCCCCTTTTGGGGGAAAAGGTGGAATAGTGTCTGTATTAAATGTAAAACAGTAATTTTATTTGTTAATTTTGCCTCTAGGAGTCCAATGACTTTTCACAGTACCAACTCAAAGGCTTGCTTAAAAAAAACTATCTAAACCAGCACATAGAAAATGTCCAAAAAGAAATGAATCAACAGCACTCAGGACAGATCCAGAGGCAGTATGAAGAAGAAGGGGGTTTTCTGAAGGAGGTAGAATCGAGGAGAGTGGTCTCTGAGGACACTTCACATTACATCTTGATAAAAGGTATGTAGTGGTTCTGAGTTCAGTAAACTACCGGTCCTGGATAATGATAGTGAGGTCCTGCTTATGCAGCTATAAATGGATGAACCCAGCACCAACCCAGTTTAAAATTAACTAATTTGCTGATTAACTAATCTATTAGCTAAAAATTAATTGCTGCTTAGCAAAAATTGTAACTTCATTTATGGGAACCAGTGACATCTCGTTCATCTTACTAGAAGTATGTGGTCACACTGTGAACTGTGTGGTGAGAAGTGTTTTACTTTTTCTTAAGGTTTTCAAGCTAAGAAAGTGGAAGAAGTGGGTTTGGAGTCTCTTCCTTCTTCCAGCAAAATGCACAACATTTCTTTTGACATGAAGTCATCTCCCTGTGAAAACCCAAAGCCAGAGAAAGAACCTGATGCCACCCCTCCTTCTCCAAGAACGCTGCTAGCTCTGCAAGCCGCCATGCTGGGCAGTAGCTCCGAAGAGGAGCCTGAGAGTGGAGCCCCAAAGCAGCACAGCAAGAGGGGTGCTGCGCCAGACCAAGGCTCCGTATCACCACGGACCCTCTTGGCCATTCAGAGAGCTCTTGATGATGACGAAAATGTGGGAGTGAGTGCCGGGGACAGCATGCCGGCAGGAGGGCCAGGAGTGAGGACGCTGCTTAGAGACAGCCCCGGCCAAGAGCATGCTGAAGGGCCTAAAGTGAGAGAAGGGGGAGCAGGGCTGCTCACCACGGGCCCCCCTCCAGCCAACGTGCACTTCCTGGAGGAGCCTGGGGCCAGCCCTGGCAGTGGAGAGGAGCTGACAGACTCGGTTCATTTGTTGAGCACTCTAGTTAGTCAAGGCAGTAAGTCTGACGTTCCAGAAGAACACATGCCACTCACTCACACGGAGAAGGGAGTCTCTCAGATGAACAGTGAGTCCACAGATAAGGCCAGGAAGGGTCCTCTTCCACACAGTGACAGGCCCGGGCTCCCCCGGGGACAGGAACTGACACAGACACCTCCCACAAGCACAGCTTCTGAACCCAGGAGCGAAGCACATGCTGAGGAGCTCGAGGTGCGGGCAGGTCCTGGCCCTTCCCAGAGTGGATATGATTCTGCTTTGTCAAGCGATGATGAAAGAGAAGCTGGAGCAAGGCCCGCTGAGGTCACTGGCATCAGCACTTTACAAGAAAGGAGGGACATAGTAAGTGTCCCTTCAGAGGCAGTAGGTAACCTAGAAAATGCCATGCCCTTAAATGCTGCAGAGCACGAGGATATCCCCCAAACCATCCAGGAATGCGAAATAACTACACCCGCGGGCCAGGAGCGAGTGTCAGTCCTGCATTCCTTGGAACCAGTGGAGATGGAGTCTGAAGAAAGTGAATCTGATGGTAAGTGCTGTGCTGTTTCCAAGCGGCAGAGGTGGGGTGGGAGCTGAGAGGCCCCTTAGCGTAGCCCCGTTCCCACTTTTTACAGATGAGAAACCAGAAAGAGGTGAAATGACTTTGCAGGGACTCACAGCTGGGACTGCGTCCTCGTCCATCCTGCTTTGCAAAGCTCCATCATTGTTGGCTATAAAGTGGGGGTAATACCCTAGAGGGAGAAGGCAAAGCTGGGGTTTTCCTTTAGCTCTCAGGCTCCTTTGCCAGTACCTCAGTGACAAGCACTTTGTATTTGTCTTATCATTTCTTATTTTGTCTGCCACTGTTGTTAGGCTTTCTCCCCATGGATATGATATATGTGTCTATTTCTGTATGCACTTATATGCTGCTGGTGCTCATTATGTGTAGATGCTACATTTGTATAAAATTATTTGTAACTCTAGAGTCAGTACTTTGTGTCGTTTGCCAACATTGCAGGGTGTGGGGATTTCTATCGCCACACTGTTCCCCAATGAGATCTGCCTTGATTCAGTGCTCCTGCAGAGATGGCCAAAGGGTGGGGACAGTGGGGTGGCAGTGTGGTAGAAGCAGCTGCAGCGTTGGGGTTTGCATCCCAACTTCAGAACTTGTGAGTAGGGCCACCTCGGGGAAGCCACCCAACACTTCTGAACCTCGTTCCTTGTTGTAAAATGGAGAAAATGTAATCTGCCAAGGTGGGTTGTTTAGTAGGACCAAAAGTATATGTGCAACATATTCATATAGATACACATATTTCTCTGCAGGAGCAATGACCCTCTTTTTGCCAATTTAGTGTTCACATAACTTTATAAACCAAACCCTGCATGATGAAGATCTTCGTACACATACACTCTCACCTTGTGTCCTGGTGTCTGTTGGGCCTCTACATTCTAAACTCATGATTTCCCAGTTGTGATTAATAAGTACATTGCACCCGAACACAGGTGTAGCCACTTGTTTTTGTATCCATTGATAACTTTATCTGTGTAAATTGTAGCTATGATAGTTACCAAATTGGGCTTTCTGACTGCGTCATTCCTTGTATATTTATCAATGGGCACCCTACAATAAGGAAGATCTGTCTCTACTCCCTCATTTATTTTTATTTTTTTCTGTGTGGCCTCCTGGATTCTGGCTTTATTCAGTGAGTTACAATCTGATACTCTGACAGTTTATTTTTTTGCTTGAATTGTCCCAGCTTTGGCCAGTGGGGCCTCTTCAAGCTGGCTCCTGTGGCTTTCGGCAATCCCCCCTTACATTTTGAGCATTTCCTTACTTTCTGGCCTAGATGTTCCAGGCCTGTGTTGAACTCATGCCCTGACCCTGCTCTTCTCACCAAGGACCCTTTCTTCTTTCAGGGAGCATGATGTTTAGAAAGCATGGCTGGGTGCTAAGTGCTCACTGTTTCCCTCAGCAACAGAGCCTGGAGCTACATTTACGTATACATACACAGATGCATGTGTGCACACATCTATATTTATTTCTGGGTCTATCTTTGTATTAAGATCCAGGTGTTCACACTGATATCTGTAATTCCCAACATCCAGGGTTTATTCTAACCTCCCCTGTCTTTATAATTTTCTTTTTTTAAAATAAATTTTTTAGTTGTAGATGGACACAATTTTTTGTTTGTTTATTTTTATGTGGTGCTGGGGATCAAACCCAGTGCCTCATGCCCCTATAATTTTCTTAACAGTGGGAAACTTCCTCCCATTATCTTCAATATATTTACCTATCTGCTATTTCTTTCTTTATCTATAATGATCTCCCCTTACCTCTGGCTCCTCCTCGATCTGCTCCTCTCTGTCCTGATTGTTTCCTCACACAAATACGTGCAAGCCCCCTCCCCTGAAAGCAAGGAATGGAACCAATATGTATTTATTAAGAAAAAATAACAAGAGAAGAGGAAAGGAATGTGGAAGAGAAAGAACTATTTCTCTGAGTATTACCCAGGATTTTTTCAGCTTTATTTACTCTTTTCATAGTGAAATGGCATAAAGTCATATTTAACAATCTATACTTGATAATTTTTCTTTTTGAATTTTTTAAAAAAATATTTTTTATACCTTTATCTTGTTTATTTATTTTTTATGTGCTGCTGGGGATCGAACCCAGTGCCTCACACATGCTAGGCAAGTGCTCTACCACTGACACAACCCCAGACTCCTTTTGAATTTTAAAAACAATATTAGTTAACTTAGGACATATAACAGTTGACTAATCTAATACGCAAATCTTAGACTATCTTTGAAGGTAGGAATCAAACTCTATCTAATTGAAAAGGCTTGTTTTGAAGTTACAGGCATCTGTGATTGAGTTTGTTTAACAGTAACATTAATTGCATGTATTCTTCTAAACTCAGATTTTCTCTTTGGAGACAACATTTTTCAGGGTTCTTCAGAAAGGTGTTGATGGTTTCAGGATAATTTCCATGTTCCAGTTGCAGATGAAGTGACCCTGTTATTTTGGTACAGGAAGCTTCATTGAAGTGCAGAATGTGACAAGTGATGATGAACTTGAAGCTTCCGAACCTCCCTCTGAACAAAGTGAAGAGGAGCCAAGAGGAACTGAGGAGGAAGAAGCCCCTGGTGGCACCCAGAGCCTCCTACAGGACAACTCAGAAGGCGAGGACTCTGATACTGACCCACGCAAAAAAGCTGAAAAGGAAGCAGAAGACTCCCTGGATGAATGGCAAGATATCAACTTGGTAATAATGCAGCCTGTTTCAACTTATTGCTAAGAAGCCGACCTCAGTAGCTTTTGAGTTTTAAGAGTTGTTGGATGAAAATTTATTAGCTGATTGCAATGAATCTTCTTGTTGATGGCTTCTTTTCTATCTAGATTACTGTCTGGGATAGACTCTGCTTTTCTTGTGACTTAGTGAGGGAGCTCAGGTATTATAGTCTTGCTCAGAAATCTATGTGGAGAAGAAGGTTGTTGATATTTTCAGTCAGATTAAATGCAGGCTTTTTGTAACAAATGAACTTAATTGGATTATTAATATAATTATCTGCAAATGAAAAATTATTCTATAGGAGGAGCTGGAAACCCTGGAGAGCAACCTCTTAGCACAACAGAATTCACTCAAAGCTCAGAAGCAGCAGCAAGAGCGGATCGCTGCCACTGTGACGGGACAGATGTTCCTGGAAAGCCAGGTGTGTTCCTTGGCCGGGGCATCCGCATCCCTTCCTTAGACCCCAGGGAAGGCTGGATGGCGTGTGGTTGCGCTGCTCCCTCTGGCTGCGGCCTGGGTGCATTTCCCCGGGGCTGTTGTGTCTGATTGCAGGAGCTCCTGCGCCTGTTTGGCATTCCCTACATCGAGGCTCCCATGGAGGCGGAGGCGCAGTGTGCCATCCTGGACCTCACCGACCAGACTTCTGGAACCATCACCGATGATAGTGACATCTGGCTGTTTGGAGCACGGCATGTCTATAAGAACTTTTTCAATAAAAACAAATATGTAGAATATTACCAATATGTGGACTTTCACAACCAATTAGGTAAGACCTCAGAGTAGATTTCTGAAATTTACCTTTGCTATTTGCCTTATGCATTGTTTTCTTTCCAGGGAACTAATTTGATGCCTTAATGGAAATGGTTAGGTGCATACAAGTTTTCATGTAAGAGATCTTTTACTTAAGTGGAGAAATAGGATTTTGAAAACTGGACTTCAATCAAAGTCCTGGTATATTTAGTTTTTTTCCAAGCTTAATTATCTGACCTGGTTAGTTGACTAGTCATTAGCTCTCCAGAGTGAACCAGGGTAGGAGAGAGGAATCGGGTGGAGTGACTCCTGCCCATGGCCCACGCTGGTGTTCCTAGTATTGGTTCCTCTTTCTGCAAATACCACATCAAGTGATCCCTGAATGCCAGTTATTCTTGATAGGGAGATGGAATGAAGCAGTCTAGTAGGAGAAACAGATAATGAGCAAATGCATAAGTTATTGACAGTCTGGAGAAACAGTATTTATAGGTAGCCTTAGGGGCCTGAAGGAGATCTGCAAGTACTTTAGAGAAGCACTTGGTGATAAGTGCTCAAAGGGACTAGCAAGTGCAGAGGCCCTGAGGCTCAAGTCCCCTCCCAGGAGGCTAGCAGGAGTGGGAAGAGTTACATGGTGGGAGAGTATGGAGAGACCTGGGTCAAGGCCATTGTCCTGCACTGGAGGAGGGAATGTGGGCCAGCTGGTGTGGGAGGGGAGAGGAGAGGAACAAGGTACCAAGCAGCCTGTGTTGTGGACCCACCATCAACAGGATGAGGGAGACTAGGAAGAGGAGTGGAACTGGGAGAGGGAAGAGTTCAGGCTGGAATGTGTCAAATTTGATATGCCCATGGGATCCCCAAGTGGAGATACAGAGTTTGTAGGTGAATATATGCAACTGTGGTTCAGAGGCAGCCACGCTAGATAGTTAAATTCAAAGGTTAGCATGTAGAGGGAATTTGAAGCTGTGAGAACAGAGAAACTTTAAAAATCTGAATAGAATGCCATTTTAAAAAATCTATTTCATATAATAAAAGGAGATATCTTTGGCTGTTGAGTGTGTGTGTATATATGTGTGTATGTAACGTTTATATAACATTTATGTAAATTATGTAATTTATGTGATTATGTTTATAAATGTTATAAAATAAATATTTAAATTAAAATTGCTACTCTTGTAGGATTAGATCGGAACAAATTAATAAACTTGGCCTATTTGCTTGGAAGTGATTACACTGAAGGAATACCAACTGTAGGCTGTGTAACAGCCATGGAGATTCTCAATGAATTCCCTGGACGTGGCCTGGAACCTCTCCTAAAATTCTCGTAAGTTCTTTCTACAGTTCTTTAGTTCAGATGTTTGTAGAAATACCCATTCTAGCAAATGGAACTTTTTCTCAATTCATGAGCTGTCACAGATCACTGTGGACTGAGAGACTAGCAGGAGGTGCTCATTGATCCCCTGGAGTCCTCATGAGATCAGAGTCAGTTTCCTTCTTGAGTGGCACCAGGCTTCTCCTGGTCCCAGGGGAGGAGTGTACAAGCCATTTTGTCCATTCAAGTATTTATTGAATCCTGACTATAAGTCAGATGCTGCAGGCCTTGGGGATATGAAGGATGAGCAAGTCACTGCCTGAGGGGCTTCCCGTGCCCTTGGGTTGTGAGGAGCAAAGGTGCTTGCACCATGTGTTCAGTGTTCTGAGGCCTCCAGGTGGCTGTCCTGTTCCTCACCTTGTGAATTCTGTGGTATGTCCAGTTGTGGAATCTCATTTGGTCTGGAGCCCAGAGTCGTGCCGTTCAGCTGTTAGTTCTGGTGACTCTGAGATGGTAGGAGTCATCAGCACATCTGTGAAAGTAGTTCTTTCTTGGGGCTGTAGCTCAGCGGTAGAGCATTTGACTAGCTCGCATAGGGCCCCAGCACTGCAAAAGAAGGAAAAAAAAAAAAAAGAAGAGACAGTTTGCACACACCATAAAAGTCACCCCTGAAGTGACTAGTTCTGTGGTGTTTAGCATAATCACAAGACGTGATGGCATCTTCTGGCCTTAGTAGCAATTTGATTTTGTATTCTCTACAGTTACATCTCCTTTGTCCTGTGGTTGGAAAATGTGGGATGTTCTGGTCTGGAGAACCAGTGATCAGAGTCACTGGATGAAATCAGAAATTGTAGTACTGACTGCTGGCCTATATTCAGACTTAGCACACACACCGGTGTATCTTATTAATGCTTTCTTTATCTCTATTCCCATATTTTTCTTATTGTTGATGAAATGTATGTACCAGGGTTAAGTTACTAGGTCACTCATATATCATGATAAATAACTTGGAAAAAAATGCCAAGTAACTTTATTATACAAATGAAATAAATACATAACAATTTGTAAAGTGTGGATTAAAAAGGACCTACTTTAAATATTTTGCTTTATATATTTTAAACTTTTCTATGCACATTATACTCAACGCACATTGTAATTACTTTTTTAAACCAGGTTGAAACTGTGTTATATACTTAGAGTCAGCTTTAGCAGTTTCTCTCTTTGATCTTCTAGCTGCTTAAAGACAAGATGGGAGCAGCCTGGTCCCTGCCTGACTCAGAGGTTTAGGATGGTACAGAGTTAATGAGGAGGAGTGGTGGGAGGCCAGTGGAGCTGAGTGTGCGACCGTGCTTTTCTGTTCTCATCATCTCCTAACCAGACCCTGGCTAGTCAATCATTCTTTAAAGTGGAGCTATTCTGGGCCAGCAGGCCGTGTGTAGTCAACTAATTCTGGTTTGGCCTACTCTCTGTGTACTTTAATAGAGCCTTAATTTTTGAACTGGCTACCAACATTTGAATCTGGGGCGATTTCACAAGAAAATTTAGCTTCTCTTTGGGGAGAAGATTGTCCCACAGCAGCTGAGCTGGAGCAGCAGCTGCTTCCCTCCTGCACACCAGTCCTTCAGTTTCATCACAGGTGTCACTACTCCCTGCTCTCCTCCCACTGCCACGCTGATTGACAGATGCCACAATTCGTCCTGGATGTTAAGTGTCTGGCCCTCCTGCTTAAGGAGTAGTGGTCTTTTTGGCTCCATGAGCCCAGTGTGCTGAGCACATTCTCCTACCTGGCAGTCATGATGAAAATTCAAAAGTGAAGCAGTGGTGGCAGGCTCGTGGGCATTTCCCCAGGACACCCTCGGAAACAGTGTTATAAAAGTGATGAAGATAGACGACGACGACGATTATTATTGTTTATTTGTGTGTGTGTGTGTGTGTGTGTGTGTTTGTGTGTTTTGATTCAACGAAGACTGCAGTTAGTCTTTTCAACAATAGATGGCACTCGTGTGTCATGAGGTGGAACGCAGGCTGATACCACTCCATGAATTAGTTCCCAACACCAGTAAGTGGGAGAAGCAGTGGGTTTTTTGTGGGTCGGGGGGCAGGTGTGTTCCATTGAGTCCATGGATTGGTGAGGGTTATTTTTATGTTTTTAACTTTATGTATTTATTTTTCCTGGTGTTCTGCTGTTGCGGTACAAACTACCTTGTAATCTCAGGGGCTTCAAATGGCAGAAGTCATTGATTTTGCTCATGAATCTAAAGTTTAGTCAGCTTCCTGGGTGTGTTTTGTTTCTGCTCCATGTTGTTTGAACAGCTCATCTGGGCTCAAGGATCTGTTTAAATAGCTGACACACACGTTGGCCAGGTGGTCTTACTGTCACTGGCAGCCCAGACAGAGCTGTGGGTGGGGTCTTGCACCCACTCCATCTGGACCTGCTCGTGAGACTGGCTTCCTCAAAGCCTGGTGGCTGCTTCCAAGAGCAAATGTTCCAAGAGGCAGGAAGAGGAAAGTGGAAAGGATATCCTCCTAGCCCAGCACAGTGCTACTTCCTGTTACCCTGGCCAGCCAGTCCCAGAGCGTCTGGCCCCACTTCTTTCTTTCTTTTCTTAGGTACATATTAATTATACAGAATATTGGGCTTTATTGTAGAATTTTCATACATGCGTATAATTCAATAAATTTAATTCCCCAGAACCTCCCCCAGTCCCACATTTTTATGGAAAGAAAAAAAAAATGTAGCTTTCTTTAACCACAATGGATGAGTTCAAGAAATAATAGATGAGTATTAGAATGGAAAAAATGGATAAAATATAAAGAAAAAATAGCCATATCTTTGCTTAGAACATTGCTTAACACACAAGAAAGTAATATTTTGTATTATTATTTATTATTTTTAATATCTGTTGACCTTTTTCCATTATATGTTCCCCTCTGGGAAAAGAAATGATAGGATGCTTTTTGTTGACTTATGTTTTTCAACTATAAAATTTACCATGTTCTCGGCATTTTCACCTTTTATTGAATACTCTTGTATTCATCGATGCATTTTGTTAGAGGTGAAAATGCACATACATTGCTTCATTTTACTGCTGAGAAGGAGACCTGGAGAAATTGTTGTGGTAGTGTAATTATGCATGAAGGCTCTGGGAGAGGCTTTTCACTTCCAACTACAAATCTAGAGCAAGTTTCTTCTTTCTGAGTTCAGTTTCCTCTCTAGGTGAGGCTGATGATAGGACTCTGCTTGATTATGGGGTAGATAAAATATTGAACAGTACCAAGTACAGAGACATCATTTAATAAATGTTCCCTATCACTATTCCTCGTGGTTAATAATACTGAAAGCAGTACAATTAGTGTTCTATACATCATTCACTTTGCATTGGAATTAGGATTTGAATTTTCCATTTCTGAACTCTACCTTCAGTTCTTTACCCCCAGTGCATGCACTACACTATCTCATTACTTTATAAATATTTTCTTTACCTTATAGAGAGTGGTGGCATGAAGCTCAAAAAAATAAGAAGATAAGACCCAATCCTTATGACACCAAAGTGAAGAAAAAACTACGGAAATTGCAACTCACACCTGGTTTCCCTAACCCAGCGGTTGCGGATGCTTACCTCAGACCTGTGGTGGATGACTCAAAGGGCTCGTTTCTGTGGGGGAAACCGGATCTTGACAAAATTAGAGAGTATCCTTGAATCTCTGCAAACATAAGGGACATTGAGCCATAGTAAGGCTTGTTACACTTTTGAACAAGAACTTGGATCATTTTCCCCTGGTATCACATTCACTTGAAACCCTCCTTTTAGTTCCTTTTTCCCTCTCAGTATTAAAGAGGATCTTCTTTCAGATAAGCCATGATAGCATTCATAGACATGAACACATACTTAAGTACTATTTATTTTGAAAAAAATAGGAAAGATGATGATGATTTTTTGTGTGTGTGTGGTGCTGGGGTTGAACCTGGGACCTCACGAGTGCTGGGCAAGTGCTCTCTCTGCCACCGAGCTGCATCCCAGCCCCACATAATTTTGTCCTTTTTATTGCTGGTTTTCTATTTTGTATACTTAAATTTAAGTATTTCAGTTGATGTTTAAAATGTTAGAGTAGAATTAATCTAGCTACAGTTTATTTTTTTTCTTTCATAGACAAGATATCTGAAACATATTTTATTCTAAGTCAGACTTTTCATAGTCAAAAGGCTGACGTTGTAAAATGAGGGTAGAGTTTCTTCTGCCTTACAGGATTTGAAAAGAACATACTGCAAGATGATCATGTTGGAATAATTTGTTATCTTTTTATCATTACCTCTTTAATGTTTTAAATATGAAAATCTTTTGAAAGGGAATAAAGGGTCAGTTCTTTGGATCTTTTATTTATCACTTGTTAAGTACCTTTGAAAGCATTTATAACCTTAACTGCCTGCATATTTTGTCAGCGGTATTTTGGATGGAACAGGACTAAAACGGATGAATCTCTATTTCCGGTATTAAAGCAACTGGATGTCCAGCAGGTAATCAGGTGGCTCTTTCCCTGATTTCACACTGAAGAGTGAACTTAGTAGGGCTTTGATTGGCAGCTGTTGAAGAACAGCTGCCAATCATTTTAGGTAAAGAACAGAGGAAAATAGAAAAAGAATAATTGGACTTAGTCTTCACAATATCTCTCTTAGTGCTGGACTGTGATGGCCTTTCATGTTCATTCTGACTTTGAAAAAAAACAATAATCAATTTCACACTAAGCATTTCTGATTAAAGATACCCTCTTGGTGTTATTGTCATTTTTTAAAAGCTTAGGAAATGTCCAATCCAGAACAGTTCTGGTCATTAGGGTTTCTCAATTATAAGCACTTCTTAATTTATGATTTTTATATAGATCTTTATAGTAGAAGCTCAGTCATTATAGCATATCAGTAAGAGAGGGGATCTGGAGGAGGAGAGGCCTTGTAGGACCGTCTCCCCTGGGCAGGTGAGTGGGTCTTGCTCTGTCCATGTGTTCTTGCTCACTTAAAGCAAGTTTTTGCCCACCATGGAAGCAATCCACAATGTACACTCTCAAATCCACTGTTTAGCAGAAATGAAAAAATATCTTTTAAGATAATTGAGTTAATTTCCATTAAGTTTGGTCAATTTTGGAAAAAAAAAAAATAAGCAAAACTGATGTAAAGAGCATTTCCAGGGGATCCCTCTTGTTTGTTGGAAGACCTTTCTCTGCTGAAAGCATCGCCCAGCTGAGAGTGAATGCTGTTTCTCACCGACTGGTTACTCCTTGGCTCGAGATACATTTTGTTGTAGAACTTTCTCCTTTCCCACTATTGAACTTAATATAAGTTTATTTCTCTATGATTGGAAAGTGTAAATAATGTTGTGATGGACATTAAGCCTAAAACTTTTCTCACATGTAAGTATTTTTAAAGAGTATCTTCCCAAGGCTTGAAGACTTTTTACAGCTCTTAAAATATCCTGTGAGCTTGCCTCCTGGAGGTACTATATGATTATATAATGTTTTAAGAAGAAGGAGACGTAGGACTTAGAAACAAGCCCAGTGAAATTTTATTGCTTGAGAAGGTGATGCTTTTTGAGTATCTCAGAAGAGATTTGTTGTTGGAGATGTGGACAGAGGACTTAGCCGACAGAGTGAGTGCAGGTATTGCTTTCAGTGTAATTTAGAAATCACTGAGATCCACTGTAATTAATTGGAAGAGAACTGGCTTTTGGAAGGTGTAAATCAGCATTCTCTGAAGTGGTAATCCAATGTGAGCAATCAAGGCGGAGCTTGTTGACACGGTGTGGAAATCTGTCTGATTCGCGTGTTATTTTATTTTAGACTCAGCTCCGGATTGATTCTTTCTTTAGGCTGGCTCAGCAGGAGAGGCAAGATGCTAAGCGCATTAAGAGCCAGCGACTCCACAGGGCCGTGACGTGTATGCTGAGGAAGGAAAGGGAAGCGGCCACCAGCCAGGTGGAGGGAGAGAGTGAGACGCTGGGCCAGGCCCCGGGCAGCGCCCCGAAGAGGAGCCTCGCCGAGGAACCGCAGGAGGCCTCGAGCCTGAAGAGGAGGAGGCTGTCCGAGTCTGGAGGCCCCCCTGATGGATGCGGTGGGTTTTTGGGGCTGAGCTGCCTCTCGGAGTCCGGTGCCTCTTCGGGTGAGGAGGCCGGAGCTTCGCCGCCGAGGAACGTGCGCAGGAGAGGAGCTGGGGCCAGGCGCGGGGTCGGGCCCCGCGCTCCCGTGCAGGCGGCCGGGGTGAGCACCAGCAGCTCCAGCGAGGACGAGGAGGACCGCGGCGGGAGCGCCAGGGCCGCCCTGGTGACGGCCAGGCCCGTGTTTGGGAGGAGAAAAGGGAAGGCGAGCCGTGCCAGGGGAAGAGCGAGGCAAACCTGATTCAGAATCTGCCTTCTCCTCCGCGGCCGTGAGGACACAGTGAAATTAAATGCGTTGGCACAGTCTTCTTCGTATCCAGTGTGTGGTCTTTAAAAAGATTGGCGCGGACCCGACAGTGTCAGCGGGTCACGGTTGTCCCGTGTCCCCTGCCACGTCGGGTGTTTTCTTGTTCTCAGAGACTTTCTCTCTTCCCGATTCCATATCTTACACTGCCTGGTGCTTTCTGACCCATAAGGAAAAAAACAAAGAACAAAGAATCTACATGACCAGAGCCGGCTCTCAGAATGCCTTCCCTCTGACTCATACCTAGGGGAGAAGAAAGATACCTGTGTAGTTTAGGAATAAATAGTGGCAGCTCCAGTAACAAATAAATTCCTGCACCCCACTGCTTGCTGTTTTCCCTCAAGCTCTTCTTAGAATGATAGCAGGAGGGACCCTCACTGCCGGAGCATATTTGAAGAACATGATTGCTGCGATTTTAGCAATTAATTAGGAAACCTGACTGAGGCGCTTCGTTCTTCCTGTGAGCATTAATGATGGGACCCTCTGCACCGTAATGTTTGCTTTCACACTACTTCAGGTGTCAGAAGCTGACTTCTCTGTAAATAAATTTGGTGGCTCAGGGGTTCATCAAGCCAGTGTAGGTGGGTCCACGTTAGGTGTTGACTACTGTTGGCACAGCTCTTTGACCAGTGGTCAGCCTAGGTTACTTGAGGATTACTAGGCGGAGATCTCCAGTAGCCTGCTACTTTGAGTCTAGGGTACCTTCAGATGTGCCTTCCCAAGTTCATAATCCTTCTGGTATCTTTCGTATTTCCATCTTTCCTTGTTTCCACCATTTGGCCTTCAAATTGAAAATCTTCACCAAAGAAAATAAGATACAAACAGATACTTTTCAACAACTTTTCAACGAGTCCTCAGGATTTTAGGCTGTCATTTGTTTACTGTTCAACCAAACTTCTGGGATACTTGGACTTCAGCTGTTGCTTTTCTATGCTCATTGTTTCTTCTTAATTTCAAATATGGCTTCTGCTTCTCTCAGTCTTCTCTAGCAGCTTCCTTCTCACATTGATAATGACATCTGCACAATAAACTCAAGTCATTTCTTGATGCCTCTTTGCTCTAGAGGTATTTGAAGCAGAACACCTCAGTGAGGACAGGAACATGTTTTCATATCATTGGTATTTTTCAAAGGTACTGGTAATTGGGAGTTTTTGCATATACATGTGGGTAGAACAGTGCTAAATATTTTGATTTTGTTGGCTTTAATAGATAATTCAAATTTATTTTCCATTGTGTTAGCTGATATAAAGTCTGTCACTGTAACGGAGACCTTCCTATACATGGTCTAGGTGAGCTAGAGCCTTCCTTCTCTCTTACTCTACTGTCGACGCGTCAACAGGGGAAGTTGTTGTCTTTTGAGTTATTCAGAGCCCAGGCCAGCCATCCTCTGGGGTGTCTTGCTTGAACAGACTGTGACCACTGCATCAGTTTTTCACCCTCCTGGAAGGGGAAAGAACCAAATCCAGGACAAGCAGAATGTCTTACATTAAGGGTGAATGGAAAAATCACTTTTCTTCCATTTCATTGACCTGAACTGAGCATTTGGCCATACTTAGACATGCTCAGAAATGTGATTTCTACCTGGTCTGTGCCTAGGAAGAAGGAGAAAATGGTTATTCAGGACCATGAGAAACATGCTGAAAAGTATATTTATAGAACCCTTTGATACTATATCCTCTTTTTCAGTTTAACCGTGTGACCAAAGGATATTCTTTTACAAAGGAGTAGACAAGTTTAGAGACATTAACTGACTATAAAAGCTACCCATCTAGTCAGTAAGAATTTTTTACCTGGGGCTGGGGATGTGGCTCAAGCGGTAGCGCGCTCGCCTGGCATGAATGTGGCCCGGGTTCGATCCTCAACACCACATACAACCAAAGATGTTGTGTCTGCCGAAAACTAAAAAAGAAATATTAAAAAAATTCTCTCTCTCTCTTTAAAAAAAAAAAAAAAGATTTTTTACCTGAACTCAAATCTAACTCAAAATTCCAGGGTTTTGTTTTACTTACAAAAATAGGTTGCCTGTTGAAAATAATCAGCAGCAAAGCCAATTTATCATTATTCAGAGCAAGTTGATTACCTATTACATCTAGGTGATAGCATCTTTTCTATAAAATGAAATTATCTTCCAGGTTATTAATATTTTCTTCAGCTTTATCTACATTTGCTGTCAAACCGATACATTTAATTTTTTTCATTTATTGTTATTTTTTCTTTCTTTCTAGTAGACTCTTTTTTTTTTTTTGAATATACTCTAATTCTTTGGTATAGTTTCCCTTATATGTTTTTTGATCATCATAAACAGTTGCTTTGAAGCCTATATCAAATAATTCCATTATCTGGGTCACCTGTGAGTTTATTTCTATTGTCTGTTGATGTGCTTGGTGAATTTTGACTGAAAAAAATTTCTGAATGAGAAACTGTGGCTGTGCTGACTCCCCTCCCCCGCAACCAGGGATCCCAGAGGTATTCTGCCAGGCAGCAGGGCTGATCACGTCATGTCATATCAGGACAAAGTGGACTCAAGTCTGGTTTTCAGTCTTTACAAAACTCCAGCTGCTGCTCAGTCCTTATTCCTAAAAGGTTCTCCAGGAGTACCAGCTGAAAGCCTGGTGTTTCTCTTCTGAACCTTGTTCTGCTTTTTGCCTTGTCATGCTTGGGAAATTGGCCTCGTGCCCTAAACAGCACAATTACTCATTGCTGTGAGTGCAAGGTCAGTGAGGAATGTCAGGCTACTTCCCTGTCCCTTCTTTGGGATCCAGGCCCTCAGTGCCTGGATGCCTTGCCAGCTGTTCTTTTGTCTGCCCACTTCTGTGAGGTTGCCTGAAGCTGAGCTGGGTCCATTGTTTCCTCTTGGGCTACTCAGCCTCTTTCTCTTCACCGGGGATCAGTGCCTGGAGTTCTTGTTACCTGGACAGCTTGATGCGATGCTGTTTAACAGGAGCACGTGAGCATATGTGTGTTTGTATTTGAAAACCTGCTTTTCTGGTTCCTAAGGAAGCAGAGGTCTGCTCTAGGTACATACAGCCAGAGGCAGAAATCTCTGTGTCTCTGCTTTTTAAACAGTTCTGTATAATTGAAATGATTATGTCTAACAGTTGGCTAAGATGATTGATTTAGGGATTCTGCTTCTGAAGAAATCCAGCACCAAGGATTGCATCATCTTTCAAACAGCTCTTTGAAAAAGTCATAATTTTATACATTAAATAATTCTTTATTCTTGCTTTAAAAATAGTCAAAAAAGAGTGTCATTTGCCCAAAATTAACTGCCTATGAATAATAGTTTGTATTGTTTAGGATTTTAGACTTTCTAGAATGTTTTTACCTATAATCGTAACCAACAAATATGTATATTATATGCTTTTTATATCCCTATTTAGTAGATGAGAAAGCCAGGGAACATGCTAACTGTATGGTCAAAATCACCAGCTAATTATTGATAGGAGTAACTAAATGGAGCCTCCTGAAGTGCAGGCCTGCCTAGTACAGCAGAGTGACCTTGGTTAGCTCTGTGTAAGTCATGGAATGTCAAGTGTTTCTTGCATTCCTAAGTTTAAATTTGCAATATTGCTTGGCTTTGTTGCTTCAAGTAACTTATATCAAGGGGATCTTTTCAGAGACAGGGGAATGTTTATGCATGCCTACAGGTACGTAGTGCACCTGTGTAAGTACAGAGATGAACACACCCTTAGCTTGCCATTCCACCTGAATAGGAAGGAGTTGGGGTGCTTTGATTCCTGGGCACAGAGCAGTGCTGCGTAAATTCTGATGCAATTGGATTCTGAAAACAGACAGACTGGTGATATGAAAATTAGGTGGCCTCCATTTCACAGGACATGACAGCCGTGGAGTATTAGAATAAGCCTTGACATTGACGTGGGAGAACTGGATTGCTACCTCTGTGCAGTCTTTGCTTACTCATGGGAGTGGTTTACATCTAGCTATTGGTTTTAGCTCTTTCATGGACCGCAGTCATTCTGTTATTCAGCCCCTTTAGAAGGGTGTCCCAGCCTCACTGCTGTGTAACCAGAGGCGAGGAAGCTGCAGCTGTCAGGATCCTAATCCTTATGCACGGCCCCACTGCCAGTGTGTACAGTAGTAAACTCTGCTTTGGTGCAAGCCTTTCAGGCTCTACCAGAGGACTCGGCAGCAAAACAGAAGTTGTGGATGATACTTTTTAACCTTCTGTAAACTTGGCTAAGTCATTTAGGTGTGTCTAGGTTTAACATTTAATAAATACTGGCTTTCATGTGGACAGGTGTAATGAAGACTGCATTCTTTAATGGAAAAGATTAAATTGGGAACAAAACATATGTCTTGCTATTATTTGAGCTGTGACCTTGTTTGTAAACTCTAGGGAAGATAATTTGGCTTCTAATTTACTGAGGCATGCTGTGAAGAAATGTGACTTATAAGTAGTTTGGGATCCTTGGAAGAAAGTGTTTTACTAATTTATGGTAGTACAGTGATAGCTTCTATGATACCAATCAAACTTTAGTGAGGTTTAAGTAATGGCTCATTTGAGCTAATTCTGATTATCTGCTCCACTTGAGAGGCATGAAATACTTTGATTTATTCAGTCTTATATGTCTGCTGGGATGGTGTGCATAGATGGTAGAAGCTACTAGGACGATCATCTGGCCCTGGTGCTGTTTGACACTGAGGAAGTGCTAATGACGCACAGATGGGAACAAATGAACTCTGCACTGGTTGCTAGGATGCTTTATTTTAGATTAATATTATGGTTTTCAATGCACCAAGCAGAACCCATTTCTTCCCAATGTTTTAGTCATCTCTTAAATTTTGGCATTGCTGTCTTACCAGGCAGTATGATGTGCCTCTCTGTGGCAGCTGTTTGTCTCTGGTGAGGAACACGTTCTTTCTCTAGTAGCTTATAGAAGACCTGACTCTGAAGCCTTTGTTCCAGTTGTGATTTGTACTAGGTGGTGTTGAGTTGGTCTTGATTAAATCATGCTTTTTTATTATGTGGTGCTTTAATATTCCCCCAGCTATATTTGAAGTTAAACTTTAGTAGGTAAGCATGAGTATGCTCGGTACATATTTTTACTTCATTAATACCATTTGACATTTTATTACTTGCCTAGTTTTCAAGAAATGATCAAGAAAACATCAATATATAGCCATCCATTGATTGATCACTTGATGGAGCCAGAAGTTCAAGAAGGTAAATAATTTTGTTTCTTTCACCATTTGACCAATTCTAAGGAGGCAAATAATTAGTAGAATATAAAATATTCCTTTTACAGTGTTCATCCATGTCTTGAAGGGAGCTAGGACATTGATTTACTGCATGTTATGTCTCAGCTTGTGTTTGCTAACCTGAGATATCTCCAGTAAATTTTTATGCCTACTGTTATCATACCTAGGATCCTGGGGATATGTTTGAGATAATTTTGGCAGACAATAAATAAAATATATAGAGTTACTAAGTAATTAGAACTTACTTACTATATATTTAGAGTTTTTCTTTATCTGTAAAGATGGAAAATTTTATTTTTACCCAATACCATACATGAAATGCATGTTTGTGATTTGTAAGTTATTTTAGGTAAGAAGCTTGCAAGAGAGATCTAAATAGTTTTATGGAAAAAACTGTAAAGATTTTACTAATGCTTGGATGAATGATGAATTTAGGCTATAAAAACATCTGTAACACGTGTTTATGGATCATCCCTCTGACTATTAATTAGAGGCAAATACATCATGTAATTTGACCTCTAGATGTAAAAAGGATTTGAGTTCTACAACCAGTATAGTTATTTGAAATTAGCCCATCATTACTACATGGTCTTAAATATGAAGTATGTGTTAATGTAATTTGACCTCTGGATGTAGAATTTAAGTTTGAGTTCTACCAGCAGTGTGATTATTTAAATTGTCCTACAAGTTTCACGTAGTCTTACATATGAAGTGTGAACCTGCATGGTTTTCACAATATAAGTACCCCATTATCTCTAGATTAAAAGTGTAGACTTGTAGATATTCTTGACAGAGACTAGAACAATTACCATGTTTTTGTTGAGCAATTCAAAACAAATAAAATCATCTTGCTTCTTTCTTTCTCTCCCTCCTGGTCTATCATGGTGTGGCGCTTTCTAAGAATTGTCATCCTGCTTTTCCCTTTTTTGGCCACACCAGGTGGCTTCTACCTAGATGAGCGTGTCTTCAGGCTGAGAGAGTTGGGGGCGTGCCCAGGGTTGGCAGCCTACCTGGCTTAAACACCAATGGTTTTCCTGTAGCGATTCTTGCAAACCTAAACATTTAATTTGTAATCACTTAGAGAATCCAGCCATTTAGATAATTTGAGTGAAGATACAATTTCTGTGTGGTTTATGAATAAAATTACATCATTATCATTACCATTAGTAACAATTCTTGGTTTCAACTGTGCTTATGATAATTTGGCAAATTACAAAGGGAGTGGAAGAAGTTCAAGGTAAGGTTGAGACAGAAGTAGTATTAAAATATTTTACAACATGAACAAACACACCCCATAATCATCTGTATAGCCAATTAAAGCTTTAAAAATATGTTCAAAAGCACAGAGCTGGGGGATTAAGAGTGTGCTGTTAGAGCAGAGCCAGGCGTTGTGTTGCTGACAAAGGCTCTTCCCAGAAGGGGAACACGGCGTTCTCGGGCACCGGAGGGTATTGATATGTCCTACCCCCAGCTCTTTTATACTTAGTATCTCTTACTTGGAAAGGATGGAGCAGACTCCTAGCTTGTATTTCAACACCAGCATGAAGATTCAAGAACTATAAAATGTCACTCATTTATACACAGATGAAAACTATGACTAGGGCACGTGCTGGCAATTCCTTTCTACATGTTTCTGATGCTACATTATAATCTGTCTAAAACCTCATCCACATTAACAATGCCACGTGTCCCACGCTTGCCTGCAGCCTACTCTAGCTTTAGCACATGTAGCATAGTTTTCTAAAACGGTCTCCTGAGAGTCTGCAGCCATGGAGGAGACTGTCCTTCCCCAGAGTCAGGGGTTCTGGTGCACAGCAACTCAGATCACTCCAGTTGCTTATTAGACTGCCTTGAGTCAGTTTGGGTCTTTTCAGAAGTAATGCCCAAGTGGGATTAAATGTGCAAGGACTTTATTTGGGGAAATGTTTGTGGGAGATAAAGAAGGAAGGAGCAGAAGTAGGCAGAATTCTCAGATCTCGGCTTAGGTCCTACACCTAAGAAGGGGAGAGATGGATAGACTGGGTAGGAAGAGCTTCCAACAGTTCTGAGACATCTCAGGTAGGCAAGAGATGTCCCTGAGCTGAAGCTGACTACTGAAGGGGCATCCAACATGGGATGGGCTGGCTGTGGTAGGCAGCCGCAGGGGGAGGAAGCTCTTAAGGAGCCAAAGACACAGAGGGCGGCACTGTTGGCAACTGAGCTCCTTATAGCAGGTTCCCTTCATCTGAGTGGCTCCCCTCGATGGCCAGCACATCTTATCACAGATGACTATGCCTTAACTATGGGTTTCCTATTCAGATTTTCACCTCAGTATATTTCCTGTCTCAGTATATGGCAGAATCACTTTCCTGGCTACCCCGGAGCCTTCTCCCTGTCCTTCATGCCCCTCCCCATTACAGCCTGTTGGTTTCGCCTGCCCTCCTCCATGAGTGCTCCTACTCTTCCTCCTCCATTCCCAGCATCAATTGCTTTGATTCTGACCTGTATCATTTCTTCTCTCCAGTGTTGTTAACTGCCTTTAATTGGCTATCTCACTCTGGACTAACTTTCTTTACCCTCTCTAGTTCCTTTTTCACACTGTGGCTTGCAAGACCTTTTTAAAATTCAAACCTTGCCACATTAGGCTTCTGTTTAAAATTATTCAGTGTCTCATTGTTTCCTGTAGGATAGAATCAAAACTTCTAAGCATGGTGTAAGTGTCTTATCTTGTGCTACTGACCCCTCCACTTACCTCATATATTCTCAGAGTTCCTCGAATTGTAAAATTGGTCAAGAGATCTTTCGCCAGTGGGCTGACACATATTGTTCCCTATGTGAGACACATCTCCTCTTCAGACATATCTTACTTGCCTGGCAAACCCCTAATCATGAAGGTTCAGGTAATTCTTTGCTGAGCTCCTGAGAAGTGGAACTTTGAATTTTTGAATTATCTGGTTGAGCCTCTGTTAGAGCACTTACATGTTGGTCTGTCTTCATCGTCATAGTGCCCAGGTGCTCAATAAATGAGTGAATAAATGAATTAACTATAACCAAGGCTATTGGTTGGACTTAGGCTTGCTCGTTAGAGATGATCTTATATTTCTGGTCACCAGCCAGTTGACTCCCTTCAGGCCTAGTATAACATCCTACTCAGGGTATCACATGAAACTCTCTCCCGAGGACTTTCATAAATCTTTACGGAGTTGGATTAATGAGTAATATGCTTTTATGAATAATATTAGCCTTACTGCACAAAGAAAAAAGTTTACCTGAGTAATTCTATCTCTGTTTATGAAACCTACCACACACTAGTGTGAGGTAAAATATGTGATATTATAGTTGGGGTACCATAGCATTACTAAGGTGAGCATCACTCATTAACACATTTTAAATATTTAAAAAGTAACCCGAATAAGTATCAGCTAAAAAACAACCAATTTTTCACATGTTTAACAAAAATAACTCAAGTTTACTGCCTCAATCTGCCTCAGATGTCTTCAAAACTCTGGTTTGAATGTCAGGTTTGGGTGCCAGTTGCTGTCCCCAAGAGGAGGCATGTGCTGCTCAAAGGACACCGGTGGGACTCGGCCCTCAACTCTGTCTGCTGCCTTCATCAGACTCCCGTCAACTGGGCCTTTGCAACGGGCTTGTCATTAGCTTCTGACCTCACCAGTCCCACAGCCACTGCTGCCAGAGATTGTTTCAGTCAGCCTTTTCACTGATGTGATGAAAATACCTGACAAGAATAACTTTAGAGGAGGAAAATTTTATTTGGGGCTCATCATTTCAGAGGTCTCAGTCCATAGATGGCCAACTCCATTTCTCTTGGCCTGAGGTGAGGCATGTCAGAGGAGCATGAAGGTGAAAAGCACCAGGAAGCAGAGAGAGATTAAACTCAGCTCACAAAATATCAACCCCAAAGGCAGCCCCCACCCCATGGCCCATGGCCACCTCCTCCAGCCACACCATGCCTGTCTACAGTTACCACCCAGTTAATCCCTATTAGGAGATTAATGCACTGAATAGGTTATAATTTCACCTCTAAATTTTCTTGCATTTTCTCACACATGAACTTTAGGGGTACACCTCACATCTAAGCCGTATCAGAGGTAGTTCTTGAGCAGCACATCTGATCACATCAGTTCCTGGCTCCTCCTTCCCTTATAGAACAAGGATCAACACTGCAACAAGTCTGGTCTCAGGCAGCTTCTTCAGGCTCATTTCTCACAATGATCCCAGGTGCACCTTGATCTTTTCATAGCTCCCTGAGCACAAATGTCTCCTCCTCAAGGTTGCTTCTCCTGATCCCACCAACTTGGGTACTTCTATAGCCTTTAGAGAAGGGCTTTCCAAGACTTCCCAAACTCCACTGACAGTGAAATTGAATCTTTCCCTTTCATGATTCAAGGAGTGAACTTTGAGGACAATGAACTGAGGTTCTTCTTTGTTTTCTACTTGCATCCGAGCAGTCTCAATAAAAGAGGAATTTTCTTCTTCTGTGAAGACATAAGATGTCTCCTCAACTAGAGTTCCAGACTCTTCATTCTTGAAACTCAGTGTACCAGCAGATAGAACATATCTGTGGACTTTTCTCAGGAACCCATTTCAATATAAGGGCTCAAGATATTGGCATTGCTGAGGCATTCACGATTGTGTGTTTCAGATTAGCCTGTGCCCATTTATTTATCTGAAAATATCTTTAACATCTTAAAAAAATCCGTAGGCATTTCTAAAAAGCACATGACATTCCTCTTTGAGTAGAAGATTCGGTTGAATGACAGTTGCTTTCATTTAGGAGAGTGGCTTGACTTGATATTTTGCTGACACTTTCTCATGACAGCCTGCAAATGGAAGCTTGAATTCACTTGTCATTGCTATTAAAAAGTTGCTGTTTTTTTCCTTTTTTATTTAGTGTATTTCTGTGCTCTGACCCTTCATTTATTATTGTTCTTACTGACCTTAAAGATATAAAAGAGAGGACTGTAGACAGAGTTGCTATTTTGGAAGGCTTGCTGTAATCCAGCACCAAAATCAATTCACCACTGAATTTTTCTCAGGAGAATAGTCTTCATAGTGTGGCAGAATATTGCTAATTTTCACTTCATACTTGAAAACCCTTTAGTTCTCAGGAGAACAAGAGCCACCTGGTAAATTTTAAATCAGCAAAGATTTAATAGCAGGAAAATGGTATTAGAATTTTTTTTGTATGAAAAAGCATTAAAATAGATAAGCCCAAGATAGCAACATAATTATAATACTGTGTCTTGATTATGTTTTATTTAAGATCTTTTGATGGTTATGTTTCAATATTAAATTCATCAAGAAAATAATACTCTAAGATAGGTAGATAGCTTTCATCTAAAGGTGAAGACATCAGGAGTTTGGGGGCTTTCACCCAGGAAAGTCAAGATCTACTATTTTGTGTAAGGCTACCCAGTTTTAGTTTTTTGTCCCAGTGCTAGAAAATAAGGAGAGAATATATGTGGGAAAATTGTCCAAAAATGCTTCTAGAATTCCAATATATGACAATGTTATTAACTTTTTGAGGAAATTGCTCTTCTGATATTAATTAAGAACCAAACACTATCTGCTAATTCATAAATCTTTTAAACACTAAATCCCATATTCAGTAAACAATGCAGCTTGAGGAATGTGTGCTTTGTAAATTACCTTTGGGGTATAGATCCCTCCCTTCTATTGCAAGGAGGCTGCTCCAGGATGCCTGTGTAGTATACTGCTCTTCTCATTAGATTCTAGGTGAGAGATTTTTGTTATCAACCTGGACGTAGGTGGTGTCATTACTAGAACTTAATATTACATGTGTCTTCATTTACATAAAAAATTACTACTGTATTACAACTATTACCTCAAGATCTTTAGGTAGAAGTTCATGCTGGGTAAGAACAGCCAGTGTTTTAAGATGGAAATAATCATAGAGAGATATATATGTTTCCTTTTAAAATCTCACATATTACATCTAGACATTATTGTGATTTTTTTATTGTCATAAAGAAATTTTGTTTTAAGCTTCATCAGTCATTTCAAAAGAAACTTGATTATTTTATCAGTGTGATTCTTACAAAGATCTTGTTCCTCTTTGACAAATTGTTTTAAGCAGCCATATTCAGCATATTTTGGCTTTGTGATGTAAATTAAGCTAATTTTATGAGGGCTACTTCTTATGGAATGCCTATAGTAGTCATATAACATTTAAATGCAAAACAGGATATTAATATAAAACATTATCAATTAAATTTTATTCAAACTGATAATGATTTCTATATGATACAATATCATCATAGTTTTATTACTAGTTTTGAATTGCCATATGTGTTACATAAAGTTGTTCTTTTTTAGTGTATATGCAATTAATAGTGGCTGTAGTTGTTTCACGAAATATTTTTCAAGGTCCTTTGTCTTGGGAGTGTAATTGTCAATTATAACAATATACTCCTATATATTTTTAAAATTTCATTTCCACATGAGGACAAAGATGTAGTCATTATCAAAAAGAAAGGACTAGCTCAGTATATTCAGAAAGACAGTCAAAAGCCAGGAATTCATTTGTTATCACTGACTTGTTAGACAGCAGCACTAATCTGGCCAACTAACCTTTAAAAGAATGTGCAAAGTCAGAGGTGTCAAGTTGTACCAGTAAATATTCACTGACAAAGTTTCTGTATCAAAGGCTGGAACTTTAGGAGATGCTCCTGGGATTTGGTGTACTCTAACATCTATTAATCCCTGGTACCTTAGGTGACTTGTCAAAGGAGTGCTGCATTTACAAGGAGCAGGCAAGGAGGCCCAGGAGGACACGCTGAGCTAAAGGTCAAGGAAGCAATTAATGTTCTCTGCTTTTCCCTAAAGAGCCACCACAGCAAACCTCCTCCCCCACTCCTTCATTCTTAGCAAGCCAAGTGCATGTAGTGGAATGAAAGTTAAAGTTCAAATAAAACATATTACCAGTATTATTTGGTTCTTGGAGCTCTTCTGAATGCGAATGCATGCAGTTATTTAAGGAGAAGTACAGTGGAATATATTAGAAGAGGTGGCTCTTGCTGAAGAATACCAATTTTTCATCTTGCTATTTTTGTTGCATCTCTACTGAGGGTCAGTGTGATAGTGGGAGAATCGGGTGATGGACAGGCCCCTTCCTGTGGGCTGTACCTAAGCGGGAGTTCTTTTGGGGAACACATGGTTCTGACTAGATTCTATGCGGGGCACACATGCGCATGCGCACCCCCCCCCCAATTCTTCTATTTACTAGTTTTTTAAAGTTGTAGCAACTCTTGTGTTCCCTCAGGTCTTTACTATTTTTGAGGAGCAGGTCTATCTCTTCAAATTGTCCTCCTGTGGCTGAGTTTCAAGATGTCTCACCTCCCGGTTCCTCCAGTGTCTTGGCATTCCAGTATAGTGAGACTTCTGCAGTTGCATATGGGACTAACAGTATGATCTGACCAGCATGAAATAGAACAGAGCCTTTACTGACCTCATTTTAGAAATTATATTCTTAACATGACCTTAGTGTACAAATTTTTATTGATACTGGTTTTATACTTTTGACTCATATTGAGCTTAGGCCCAGTTAAACCTACATCTCTATTATATCTGCTTCCACCCCAAATAGTGCTGCTAAACTCTACCAGAATATGGGCTTTATGTTCACCTTTATTATAGTTCACATTATTAAATCCAATCTCTGATGCCCTGAGATATCACATGCATTGTTGAGGTGTAGAGGAATTAAGTCTGTCTTTCCAGTGTTTCTGAGGGGAGTGACCACATCTTCTGGCCAGCTACCATATTTCCACCACTCAGACTGGGGCAGGTGCATACCAGGCCTTCAGCACAGAGTTCTAGAGTGAGTGAATGGGCTAACCCAGGAACAAAGATTACTCTGGCTAAAGTGGTTACAATGAGACTTTGCTGCCTCATCTCTTCCTACTTAGGAATTTAAAACTGTTTTTCGGTTGGATTTGTCTTTTCATGCTGTTTCCTCCTTATATTCACAGTTGGTCTTTATTTTCCATCTTCTCTTCTGGAGAAAACTAAGCCTGACTTCACGAGTGCTGGGGAAGGGGAGGTGGATGGCAAGAGCTGAGAGAGCAGAAAATACTGGAAGGAGCAGTGGATTTTAAGGGCCGGTGTGAGAGAGAAACAACTTCTCTATCGATGGAAGTCATGTTAGAACAAAGGTTGACCAAAGACAGACTTCTTTCATGAAACCACTCCAAGCACCTCAGCCACAGCACTATGAACTGTTGAGTTTTCAAGTCTGCGCCATACCATCCAGGGTTTGATTAACTGGTGATCTTGTTCTGTCTGAATTTCGTGATCAAAATAGTAACAGTTACAAAAATAATGATCATTCTTTATGTCTCTTCTGTGAGAGGACCTGTTCTCTCCCTTGAGGGTGCTCCCTCTTCTTTCTCTTCTAATACACTTTGCTATACTTTCAAAATAATAATAATGATAGTAGTAGTAGTAGTAATTTTCAGACACCATGTAGCAGGCAATATGCAAAGCACTTTATACATATTGTTTGTTTCCCAACGTCATTTGATATAGATTTCTCTTTCACATTTTACTTAAGTTTGTAAACTCTTAGAGACAAATAGATTTAAAAAAAAAAACACATTATATCACAGCTTTTTAAAACTGTAGAAAGGAGGCTCTGGAGCAACCACAAATGGAGCTCAAATTTTGGCTCTTTCATTTATACCCTGTGTGGGCTTGGTCAAGTTAACATGATTCTCTGAGTCTTAGCTTTGTTATCAGTGAAAGTGAAACTAATAGTGTGTACCATACAGTTATTGCAAAGATTAAGAGCAGCCAGGCGTGGTGGTGCACAGTTGTAATCCCAGAGGCTCAGGAGGCTGAGGCAGGAGGATCACAAGTTCAAAGCCAGCCTCAGCAACTTAGTGAGGCCCTAAGAATCTTAGTGAGACCCTGCCTCAAAATAAACAATAAAACAGGCTGGGGATGTGGCTCAGTGGTTAAGTGCTCCTGGGTTCAATCCCCAGAACAACAACAACAACAAAATTAAGTCAATATTATAGCAGGTTCTAGCATGTTAAGTATATGCTCAATAATCAGTAGTTAAATGTTACTTATTAATCATAAGTAAGATTGTAGATGCCAACATTCCATGAGTGCCCCAAAATAATAATATAAAAATAAAAAATAGGACTGGGGATGTGGCTCAAGCGGTAGTGCGCTCGCCTGGCATGCGCGGAGCGCTGGGTTCGATCCTCAGCACCACATAAAAATAAAAATAAAGATGTTGTGTTCACCGAAAACTGAAAAATAAATATAAAAAATAATAATAGGGCATATCGTGGGTGGTATTGCAACATATCTTTTATCTGGTTAAAAGCAAGTTAAATAGAACAGCCTATTATATGTCACTAAAACACCTGAAATCATACTGTGTAGACTCTACAAAAAGGTAGGATCTTATATCCCATCAAAGTTTTCTCTTGTTCAGGAAGAACTGATTGGTGGTCCTTGGAAACTTCCTTGCTTTCTTCCTTCCTCTTCCCTCCCTCTTTCCCTTTCTTCCTTCCTTCCATCCTTCCTTCTTTCCTTCCTCTTGCACATTCTAGGCAAGCACACTACCTCTAAGCTGTACTCCTTGCCCAACATATTGCCTAAGTAGTATGTCAGTCACTCTGTGTTGCATTTAGCATTGCAGAAATGGATAGTGTGATGTCTAGAAAACAGAAAAACATGGACACCCTGATGTGTGAATGTTAGCTTACATTATGAGGTACTTGAGAGTAGACCTTACTTTTTAGTTTCATCTAAGGTCAGTGAATATTTGAAAGTAACTGAGCCCAGGAAATGCTGCATTTCCATTAGCTGCTTCTATTCTGTCTTGGGTTTCTAAGATACCTACTACCTCTTTGATTTCCTTGCAGAGGCCAGAGAAGACCATGACGACAAGCAGGTGGTCTCAGAGATCATGGCCAGATGTTTTATCCCAACTCTGGTAACAAGCATTTCCTGGGAAGCCTTTCATTTTGTTGGTCATGAGATTCGGATTACTGAAGCGATGGACTGTTACGGTGCTGTTGTTTGGCCCTCGGTATAATTTCATACAAAATTTGCTACGTTCAATTGTTTTCCAGTCAGTTTGGTTCACTGATGTGTTTTACATGGAAGAAGGAAACAGGTTGTATAATGCTACTATGTGACCTCACACAGCACTAAAACTTAGAAATCATGCAATTGGGAAGTCATTTCCACTAATTAATTCTATTTCTAACTTTATCAAAATGTGTGAGACACATAAAAACATTGTTTACTCCTTCAGTTTTTTATGACTGTAGAGTTTAGAAGAGTCAATGTTTTTATTTCCCATTTTACTGGCTCCATTTGGGTTAAACAATTAGAGTGACATCTGTATGAGTCTAACATGCAGAATATTCTCAAAGGGCACCCACTCCTTCAACGACTGAGCATGAAGGACACAGACCCTCCACTGCAGCCTGCCCTGGCCCACACATTAAAAATAACTGGTATTATTACTAGTTGCTTCCTTGAAACGTGACCCAACTTAAGCAACTAAACTCTGTACTTTTAGTTATTTCTCTTTCCTCCCAATAATCCCCAAAGACTATTTTTAGACAAAATGTTAAACATATTGGGGATGTAATTCTGTGATGATTTCCTGGAATGAGGCCTATGAACAGCCACAGATGCTCTCCTACTCACATGGGGATACTCACCTGTAACATCAGTGACACATTTACCTACTGGAGTTTCATCTTGCTCTTTGTTACTACTTGCCAAGCACCAACTTTTTAATTTAATTTTTGTAGGCACTTGTTTTATGCTATTTCCTGGAAACAAATGCAAAGCAGTATAATATGGTTGATAAAAACGTGATTGAAATTGGAGCTGGAACAGGGTTGGTCTCCATTGTGGCAAGTTTACTGGGTAAGTAGGTATTTTTGATTGAATGGGGGAATGAGAATTTAATGATCCAAAATAAGTAGTCTTTACTCTCCAATGTGCTATATGACCTGAGTCTCTTTGTAACCTTAATTGTTTAAATGGACTTCATCAATAAACTGTACCAATCCTTATGTCTCTTGACCATTTCATTCCTGAATTTGTGGTAATTCTCCCATGGGGCGCTAACCCACAAGCTTTAGCTGAAGCATACCTAAGTGGATGTTCAGTTCATCGTCCTGATTATTAGAGCAGACTGTGAAACAGGCTTACATGGTCTATTGATGCTGATTTTGATGTTCTTTAGATTTTAACATTATTTCAGTGTTCTTAGGTAGCTGTAGATTCCTTTTGGGTTTTGAAGTCCTATGCTTTTATGAAAAGTGCCTGTTAGAATAGAGAGGGATATTGGAAATCATGTAACAGTCACACATCTGCTTCTATTTTTAGGTGTTTGGATTTATTTTCTCAGGTCATTTCCATTCTTTTATGACCCTCCTTCTCTCAACAGCGGCTTTCCCACGGAATGTGTGATCATCTCCATGTTTGCCAGAACCTGTTTCAGTTCAGTCTTTCTTTGTTGTTACCTATTTCATCGCCTTAATTTAGCTGCCTTCTCTGAGGTGCACTACCCAAATCTGTCTTGATTTCCTTGATCTTCAGAAGTGCACACCTGCCACTCTACAATCTTGAGAGGAATTTGAGATTTAGTAATTTACAACTTTCTAAACACTGGAGAGGAGTAGGACCCTTGAAGTTCTCCCAGGTATTTTAAAGAAATAGCTCCGTCCACAGTGCTTCCAAAGTCACTGTTCCATTTGTATGGGTAGAGTCAGAGACACTATTTGATTTATACTGAAAGCCTCCAGGTACAGAGACAGAATTTGTGTTTTGGGAACTCATTTGTTTTATTAAGAAGAATTGATCCCTTCAGTGAGTTTGTCTAACTTGGAACAAACATCAAAAGATGGAGGTCTTGTTTAGTCAGTATTCTCAGAGTGGTGGTGCTTATCTCTCTAGACACAAAGTTCTCAAAATTAACAGTTTATACTTAGTATTGGCAGGGCACGTTCCTGATCTTGGGATTTAAAAATATTTGTTGAAAATGACCGATTTCACACACGCTAGAATGTGGAGGTTCATATTTCTGTGATTTTGCCAATTATGTGCATATTTCCCTCCCATTTTTATACTTTTTACAAAACATTCCTGATCAGTGTTAAGAGAAACTTGACATTGTGGCTAAGGGATGGATTCTCATTTATTCCGAGCGACACTAGACTTCTCTTCCAGCTTTGCTTTCCCATTTCGTATTCCGGCCTGTGCTTGTCTGATGCTGTGGTTTTAGCCATCTCTAATTTTATTTAGATTATTTTCAGGTCTGATACTGTTCAAAGTTCTCTTTAAGAATGAAATTTCTATAAATTTGTTCCTACCAAATTCCTGCCTGAAAATGATCGCTGCTGTATACTTATAACTTGGGAATTCTTTCTATCCCTTTAATCTAAACATTTTTCCTGCATCTATGATCTTTGACTTTATGACCATTGCATTTATGTTATGGATGGGTTTTAGACAGGTCATGATGGGAAGATTTACACTTGTGATGGAGTCAAGTTGAAAACTTAGCATAAGCGGTCAATGTGATGCATTGAAAAGTTTTCTTCCCTCCATTGCTCTGACCTGAGCATTTCCTGTTTACCTGCAGGAAATGTGACATGCACCCACTTGGACTCACATGACTGAAGCCCAGAGATCTTTTAGGGAAGAACTTATTTCTCCTTCACCCATGACTTTAGATTATTCTGATCAGGGCACTAAAGATTTTGAATATCTCTTTCAGTTATTTTTCTCCTAACATGTACTACATAAATAGAAAACAACAACAACAACTGAGACAAAAAACTAGGAGAACAGAAAAGTTCCTTGGTGTGCAAGAATATCACAGACAGAGGCCACCTTAGCATCCATTCTGAAAGGGATCATCTTTCAATATGTGCTGGCCAGACTTTTCTTTGGGACTAGCAATTAAGCAGAATAGCAGAGTGCATGTCAGCTTGTCAGCTGATAGTGGGACCCTATTCCATAGAATTACTTTTTCTACCAATCTTTTGTTTTACAGGTGCTCGTGTGACTGCGACAGACTTACCTGAGTTACTTGGAAACCTGCAGTATAATATTTCCTGCAACACCAAAATGAAATGCAAGCATTTGCCTCAGGTTAAGGAACTCTCCTGGGGAGTAGCTTTAGATAGAAACTTCCCCAGGGCCTCCAATAGTTTTGACTATGTCCTGGCAGCGGATGTTGTTTACGCCCACCCGTTCCTAGAAGACCTCCTCCTTACCTTTGACCATCTGTGCAAAGAAATGACCATCGTCCTCTGGGCCATGAAGTTCAGGTTGGAAAAAGAAAATAAATTTGTAGATAGATTTAAGGAGCTGTTTGATCTGGAGGAAGTTTCCAGCTTCCCTAGTCTGAATATTAAGTTGTATAAAGCTATGAAAAAAAATCGAAGGAATGCATAATATCCTCTAATGAGGACATGGAAGTGTTCAGGTGATTTCTAGCAGATTATTACTCTAAAGAAGACCTGAATGATCTCTTGCACCACTATTTTCCCAAAGGGAAATGTACAGTATACACACACTCTCTCTCTCTCTCTCTCTCTCTCTCTCTCTCTCTCACACACACACACACACACACACACACACACACACACACACACACGCTCCTATGAGAATAGAGGATAGCTTCCCAAATTTGCCTTACCCCAGGCAGGAATTTTGCATACAAGAGATGCAGCTGTAGGGTTGGGGTAACCTGCTCCTCATCTATCTCCACTAGCACTAAGGGCCACCTTCCAATCACATGGTAACAGGGACTTTTGGCAAACTCTCTGTGTGTTCATTGTCAGCTCTCCTCATTGCTCTAGCATTATTATTGTTATCATTTTCAATAAATGTTATAAACATTTTAATGTATAATTACAAAATGATAGTTTTAATGATATTGCTAAAATGGACATTGTTGTTCATCCTTCTAGCCACTGGCCTAAAGGATTCTCTCCATAGAAATAAAGAAAGTGACAAAGGTGGGGTCTGCAGCTAAATCCATAATGTAATGGAAAATGATGGGCTTTTGTGGTTCGCATTAGTTCAAGCTTAGAGGTATTCTCTCTCCTCTGCTTGCAGGGTGGGCTTCCAGCATAACTCTGAAATCAGCCTATGGATTTGAGGTTGTGGGCAAAGATGTTTCATGCTACTAAATAAAAAAATGAATGAAAGCACAAAGAATAGTTGAGGTTTTGGAGGAATTATTGTTTTATTTTTAAGCCAAGTAAAATTAATTTGTTTCATTAAAACAAGCAAATATAAAATCTTTGTGTTGAAAATACATGAAAAGGTTTAGGCCTCTAATCTTAACCAGACATATGGCTGGTTTTAAAGTTTGAAGCTCTTCTGATGAACAAACATATATAGACTTAGATATTTGAAATCTTGAGTGTTTTTTTTTTCCTACATTGGGCCTTAAAGATTAAACTCAGAAGTAATTAAAGTCAGTGCAAAAGAGCAAAAAATTGGGGCTTTGTTCCACGTAAGCACCTGGTCTTGGTTGGCAACTACTCTGCTGTGTCCCCAGTTAGCATAAGCATAGATGTCAAGATACTGTCCATGTGATGAATTGAAAAGTTTCTTCCCTCCATTGCTCTGACCTGAGCATTTAGGCTGTCACTGTGTCCTCGGGGTGACACTGCTCATTGGGATCAGTCTTCTCTACTCTGATGAAAGTTATCAGCTCAGGGTTGAGCAAAGCTGAGAAGATGATTTCCTGGGACCCTGATTTGCAAGCCAGGGTGCAGGTATGCTCCAGGGGAGTTTTTGGTGCGTGGGGTTTCTTAGGACCACCTCCATATCTCCTCATATTTACATGGATCTTTGTTATTTTCACAGTCTGTTACTCACATGAGGTCACTTAAACTCAGAACCATTCTGAGGAGGACTGTAATATCATTACCCCTACTTCACAGATAAAGAAAGAAGGCCAAGAGGCCCAGGCTGATGTCTGTGGAGTATGGTGCTGGGACATTCAAGTCAGGCTCTGTTTGAGCCTGAAGCCTGTGTTCCTAACCATTGCGTTGTCGTCATGTATTTAAAACAGCGATTGTCAAACTCTTTCTTATATAACCAAAGTCATTTATTAAAAAGGAAATGTGTACCCAGAAGGATAAGCCAATACTTGAGAAAAAGAACAGTTCCTACTTGAAACCCTTCTCCTGCTCCCTAGCCCGTAGGTCTGTGTAGGCTTACGTAGAAGGTGCCATCTGAGTAGCACTGGAAGGAAGGAGGACAGTGTGTTGGAGGCAGAGGGAGAGCCATGCCGGGGCCTGAGGGCAGAAGGGTGCCAATCCTGGAGGACACCTCAGAGGCTGGACTTGATGAGCAAGCACAGGAGACTGATGCGCCCTGAAGTCAGAGGGGCACTGGGGGAGCCAGACCATGGGCTGCCTTTGCTGCAGGCTGTGATCTTCACACAGAGGCTCTGAGGGGGAGGGCAGGCTGCAGGTCACCTGTTAGGCTATGCCGTTGGGCTGAAGGCCTACGGGAAGGAGCAGAAGGAAGTAGGACACGAGTGCCGGACCTCAAGTGGCCTCTGGGACAGTCCCGAATGGGACAAGGTGCCCAGGCCTTGAGAGCGTCACATGGCTCAGTCATGGATATGGCTGTCCTTGGAAGACTTCATGACCTTGGGTGAGCCCCTCTTCAGCTGTGGCCATTCTTGAAGACGGTGATAGCTGTGGACTGTCTACCAACAGCACTTCCAGCAGCTGGGTAATAAGTCATTCTGAAGAGGATCTGGGCAGCATGTCACAGTGTCTACCACAAGCTTTCAGGTTACTGGTCACTGAAAGAACTTGGCTTCTTTCCTCTCTGGCTACATGGAAAATCACTGGAGGGTTTTAAGTCGAATGGTAAATAATGTTATTTTGTGTAAAGACCACTGTCAGCTTCCCGGTTTTCTGTGACAAAATACCTGAGATCAATGGATTTAAAGGAGGAAAGATTAATTTTGGCTCATGGTTTCAGAGATTTTAGCCTACAGTCACTTGGCTCCATTACTTTGGGCCTGAGGCCAAACATCACAGTGGAGGATGCATGGTGGGACAGAGCTGTTCACTTCATGGTGGTTATGAAGTAGAAAGAGGGAGAGAGAGAGGGCGAGGTTCCAGTATCCTTGTCAGGGGTATGCCCTCAGTGACCTTCTTCCTCCAACTGGGTCCTATCTCCAAAAGTTTTCTTTATCTCCCAATATGCCATTAAGTTATGAATCCACCCAGGGACTAATCCACCAATGAGGTCAGAGCCCTCATGATCAATCAACTCTCAAAGACCCCACTTCTGAACACTGCTGCATTGGGGTCCAAGCCTTCGACACTGGAGCTTTGGGGGGACATGGAAGATCCAAACCATAGCAGCCACTCTGGCTGATGTTTTGAACCTGGAAGGTAGGGACAAAGGACCAGCTGGGAGGCTGCGGCAGTCATCCAGAGAGTGGCAGCTGGCAACAAGGAATCCGCATGGGCATGGAAAGTAGTCATTTCTAGATGCGTTTGGAAGCTGGAGCCAGCAGGGCTTCCTGCCAAGTAGAGTGTGGAGCATGAGGGAGACAGTCAGGCTGACCGCTGTGCTTGGTCTGAGCCACTGGACATAAGTGCAGCAGCATCAGCTGGGGCGGTTTGTAAAGCTCCTTCAGAGAGCCAGAGAGAATGAAATGAAGACTGAGTCCTGAGGTTTGACACAGGAAGAGATCAGACAGGGGTATTTGGGGTTTTTGTTCTGTTGTATTTTGAGATTCTGCCCCCTCCACAGTTGTGTTAGTATCCATGGGCTCTGGCAAACATGAATTTTATTTATTTATTTGTTTGTTTATTTATCCATACCAGGGATTGAATCCATGCTGGTTTTAGAACTGGCCAGGAGAGTTCCAGGGTTCCCCAGAGTTGCTCAGAGTCATTGGGGCCTGAGTACTGGGGATGCCTCAGTCAGAATCTCAGCCAGAACAAAATAAAAATTGTCAAATATGTGCATTTTTAAAACAAATTATAAGGCAATAATTGGAAACAAAATTGTGAATGTAGTAGGTAAATACAGGAGGAAAAACGGCTGTTAGAATATCACTAAGTAGTATTTTTTAGGTAGAATAGATAAAACGTCCTCTTAAAGACAGCATGAGGACTAAACCAGCCATATGGTCCTTTTGAGTTCCTCTTTCTCTGTGTGTCAGTCTGTCAAATGTGACATTCCCATCCATTGTTTCATTCTGTTTATAGGTCTCGCCTGCCAACTTGGACACCCACCCCCACACCATGCCTCCTTGCTTACTTCATTCTGAGAACTCGTCTACTTTTCTTTTTGCTGCAGTTTCTCCATACTTTTCAAGTTAATTTTATAGTAATTCAATTTCAGAAGATAAAATTTGAATAGACCTTTTCTATCTTACAATTTCTCCTTCTTTTTTTAACGAATAGCAATTGATTTGTTAACTTCAATCCAAAGGAGTTCTATTGTGAGCTTTTGCCCCTTTGTATCTGGCTTTTTGAGAAGTTAGATGATGTTATTAAAAACCTTGGTCTAATTCTTGCAGTAACTTTCTGGATTTTCAATAGAATATTCATACTGATAGTCAAAATTGTAATAGAGGTTAAATCAGAATACTTATTGCTCCACAGAAGACAGACCAACCTGCAGGTGATTCTCTGCAACTCAAGATGTCACACAGGTAACCAGGAGAGTTTTGTGCCCCAGATGTGTCAGCTGACTTTAGGATATTAAGTACTGCACTACAATCTCTGTCTTAGAATTTAATGATATATCTTCTTTCATTTGAACCAATTTTTATTGATCAGATTTTATTTTATTTTTTTGGTACCCAGGGGTACTTTACCACTGAACCACTTTCCCAGCCCCTTTTTATTTTTCATTTTGTGACAGGGTCTTATAAGTTGCCCAGGTTGGCCTTGAACTTGCAATTCTCCTGTCTCAGCCTCCTAAACTGCTGGGATTACAGGAGCCACTGTACCTGGCTCGATCAGAATTTTTAAGAAATGTCTTAAATGTCTCTTCTTTTTTTCTTTTTCTTTTTTGGATAATGAAAGGGTAGCTTTGGGTAACTAACTTTCTAACAGATTTATAGTCAATAGTGTAAACACATTATTGTGAAAGAAAAAAAAAAGATGGGTAAACATAATAGAATGGAATATTCCTTTTTTTCTCTAAGGCCTCAAATTCCTGCAAGTTGGTGTTCTCTGAGAATGCCCTGTCTTTAGAGGCTATGTCTAACTGGTTTTAAGAGTTAATTTGCATATAAGCAGATAAATAATTTACAAATATCCATTAGAAGTGAAATATGTCCACTTGGCTGAATTTTGATACTAGATGAGATCTGTATGTACTATTAAAACAAACCAGGAATTGGTTCTAAACAAGAATTAAAGTCAGGTCATATTAAGCAAATGAGGCAAGTAAGCTTAGGTAAAACTATGAGAAAATTAATATAGTGTGCTTCTTCTTACTTCATTTTAATTTGGTTTTCATGGAAATCTGTGCATGGAGAAAATAAAAATTGTCAAATATGTGTATTTTTAAAACAAATTATAAAGCAATA